TGTTAGTCCATAGTAGAAATCATTTCGAAATTCAAACTCCTGATCATTAAGAAGATTTAATTTACTAACTTTACAGACGTTAATTGAGATCGAAAGTTGACCAATATTCTTTTGATTCATGAATTTTAAAAAAATGCATCTTCACATTAACTATTACAGTGAAACGTATTCTTACATACGTTGGGCGTACGGTATGACAATTAGACTTATATTTCAACCATTTAACAAAACGATAACTATCAGAAGGGGTTTTGTGGAGATTTTAGAAATTTCACTGATTGAAATCATGAGTCAATTGCAGCTAGACCAACATGAAAAACCTGGACGGCCATTTCCTACTATTATGGGACTGCTCAGCAGTGCACATTTACAGCCGTTACCAGTGGAGTCCAACCAGGTCCGTTGTGAGAAGTCAACTCACTTAAAACAATGGTGTACGGTGGCGCAACTTCGTGGATTGGTTGAAGTTAGACATTAATATCCGTTGGATGCCGGGTCAGTGGTCTAGTTGGTTAAGCGCCTGACGTGAGACTGATATGTCCTGGTTTCAAATCTCGCGGGGTGCAGGATCGTGGATGCGCACTGATGAGGAGTCCCACACTAGGACGAAACGGTCGTCAAGTGCTTCCAGGTTTTCCATGGTGGTCTAGCTTCAATTAACTCATGATTTCAATCAGTGAAAACGATAACTGTCAAAGCTACCATGAAACAATTGTCTTCAGGGATGAAAAGTGAGAATTTCATCATCTTTGAAACGAACATGACACCGTTTAGACATTTAAACTAATCATTTCTTATAGGCTAATTTTGCAGTGTAATTGTTATGACAATAAAACTAACTATAAAGTACTCACGTTGTATCGAGCCACATTTACCGACTGTTCATCAACCAAAGTGATTGAATTTATTTCATTGATTTAAAGGTATCAGTCAATGCAGTGTGATTTCGATTCTCCTATTAAACAATTAGTCAGGATATTAAATAACCAGTGAACAAATTGGCATACTATGTTTTGTTAAATGCTTGGTAGCTATGAAAAATTATTTCATATTTTATCCGATTACAGAAATGTCCAGTTGACGAATGTTAGTAAATATTGACAAAATTTAGATTAGAAAACGTGCTAAACTTTAACATTAAATACAGTTTTGTGATGAATCATTTTTTAGTCGGAACTCAGCTTATTCATGAAAAATGACATAGAATATTTATTTCGAACATATAGTACTGGATTAAGCAATTACAAATTCAAATTCTTACATCGAACTTTACACCCGAACAAGAGGCAGTTAACTATTTAGTAATAGTAGCTTAATGGTTTATTTGGATCGATAGGATACAAATTTGAGCTTTAGAGTAAATATTAACATTTGGATGATAGTACATCCATCTGGCTACTCAAACATTGGGCTGAGTACGTGTTCAGGATTTAACTGCCAGCCATAATCTGAATACACCAAAAACTTGTAATTGAAAGTAACATCCAGATAATTGTCTCAGGATGCGCATATACCAATAAGGATTGTTCTATTCCTGTCCATATTATAAACAGAGTGAAACATTAAAACCTTTATTGACTATAAGTTATACTTTGTTGAAATTTTAGTCAAGAGGAATAATGTATCATACATAGTTATATCTTTCACTCTTTAGCGATCATTTTCCTATCAGTTCGACAAATACATTCAATTGAGCCACACATCACTTTCAAATTTTATGTAAATTCATTTACATAAGATTGGATTTTATCATTTGATTATCTGTTCAGTCATTTTAGCATAGTTAACATATTTATCGAAAGCCTTAACATTATTTTCGCAGTCCATATAAGAGTTATAATATCAATAACCTTTATACTATATAAGAGTTTAGTTGAGATCATATTCTTTCAGGCTTATTCTTGATTAGTCTAACTTTTACAGAGTTCAATCCTGGTAAATGCTGTCTGATTCGCTTGATGGTAATGTCTTCGACTAAGAAAATGTGTAAAGCAGTTTAAAATTACTACAATATCAAATGTTTTCTGATGATCAGGGAACTACCTTAGTGATTAAATCTAATGAGTTTCAATCATTTAGCAGAAGACTCTGATTTTACATTTAAATCCAGTACTAAGTTCACACAATATTTCCCATATATGCTTAGTTACATAACTGACAAAGTTATAAGTTATCTCATGAGAATCAAATGATCGTAGGTAATTTCCTGGAATGAGTTTTTCTTGATAAATTTTTGTGAAGTAAGAATAACAAACATTGAACGATAAATTAAGTTTGTACCATTAAGTATAGCTTAAATACATAACATATTCACTGATTTATTCAAACAAATAAAAAATGTACAAATATAATATAATATAAGCGCTCGCGTACGGGACTGATAGGTCCTGGGTTCGAATCTCGCAGGGATCGGGGACGTGGATGCGCACTGTTGAGGAGTCCCATACTAGGACGAAACGGCCGTCCAGTGCTTCCAGGTTTTCCATGTTGGTCTAGCTTCAATTGACTCATGATCTCAACCACTGAAATTACTATAATATCCACAAAACCATTATGAAATATAATTTTGTGCGTAACACGTGAATATTACTATAGATAAAATAGCATTTTATACTGTCACAATGTTTTGTATTTATCAGTAGTAAGAAACATTACATATAAATATTTAAATCAAATGAAACTAAACAAAGTAATTGACGTATTAATCATGCTGAAGTTTCGCATGTATGTAACAAGGCAAAATTAATTTGTATATATATGTCATCTTAAAACTGTAAACGTACTGATTTTGATTAAAATTTACTTTGTTTCATTTCTACTACTAATCTAATCCAGTAATAAGTTAAAATCAAAATAACATTGACTGAGTTCATTACCTAACATTAGTGATTCTGAGTAAAATCCTGAAATATAAACTATCTGATGATCTCATGTATTAGTTGTTTGAACCTTTCCATTGATATTCACCACTGCAATTGATCAGTGTCTTTTTGTATATGTGTATCTTGTGAGGACTGTCTCTTCTTGTTTGGGTCCTGTCAGCTAGATGTTCTTGCTTTCCAGAGTTGATGTTCACTCTGGGACTTGAACCCAATACCAATTGCTTCGAACACCATCACTTTATCCATTTAGCTACCGGGTTCAGAAAGCCACTGGCTTATGGAATCTGGTGAATTTCAATTTATATGTATTAGTTAGTTGAATCTTCTTATTTAGGTCATCATTATTTGAATAGTATTCATGATTGATGCAAAAAATGACTTTATAACCAATACGATTGGTTTCACTCAATATTTTTGATAGTTAATGTAGGTTACTTCTGTGTGTTATTGTACTTGTCTTTACTTTATCTGAGATCGAGATCAAATTATTTTTATTGACATATGGGTCACTAAATGCTTTTCTGCAATTCTTACCGCTTGATGAAATATTTATTGTGGAGAAATCTTTCCAGTATATAGCTCCTAGATGATGATCATCTTATTAGTATGAAAATAAAAATAAGTTACTTCAAGAAAACTTAAAATAATTTATCATTGGTAAGAAGGTAGAACATCTGATCTTTTTTGATTCAGTAGTAAAGCTTTTAATTGCAGTACAGGAGGTCAGTCACTTCCTGATTAACTCAGTGGGAACTTGTCATATTGTGAAACTAGATGGTATGGGTTTGAACCCACTGAGGAGCACCATTGCTTCGGATGCTATGGGCAATTTTTGGTGGCAATCACTAACTATCCTGAAATCTGGGTCTCGGGTTTCGCGATGGTTGTCCCCAACCACTTAACGAAGAACAACATTATTTCTCAGTCTAATTCATTGATGAATAATCGGTTTTGTCGAAATAGTGCAGACTCCTTAATGGTTAGTATTCATTATTATAAACCTTAGATTAAACTGATTCTCCGTAACACAAAAAACCTGTACGTGAATTCAGTAATAACGATAAAAGGTAGTTGACGAGCAAAAAGTGTATATTTTAAAGGATTGCCTTATGTAGTTAAAATGGATTTATTTCGAGTTACAACCGAGTAAAAGTCTTTTATGGAGTGAAGTTATGGTTCGCTATAAAAACTGAAAACATTTTGCTTGTTCAGACAGCAAAAACTGCTCACTAAAAACACTTATTGATTAATATAACTAGTTTGAAGTCATTCATAATCAATAGAAGTATATCATTAGATCAAAGCCAATTTATGATTTAAAAATGCCATAAAGGATTATGCATTGGGTTATAACTTACATTTAGTATTTTCAGAGCTAATGTTTTTACTTGAGTTACACAGTTTCAGGAATCAGAGACTAGTTAGAAATCATTCATGACTTGATAGTCTTTAGTGGCCCGTGGATCTGACTCCAATTAGATCGTATGAATGTTTGTCATCGCCTATCCTCGTATATAATCATCGACTTAAATCGCGTTAGTCAATAAACAAGTCGAATAACGAGAATGGACTTGTGAATGCATATATTTTGTATATAAAGCGAATGGAATAGAAAGAGAAACGACGCCGAGTGGAGATGGCTGGTAAGCCAACTCCCCATTTAACCAAGCGTTAATCAATATTTATAGTTAAACAAAAGTAAGTTACAAACATGTGATGTGTAATGGGATAAGAAATGTACACACCTATGCGCTCATATAAAAACAATCAAGATTGATAAGCGAATAATTAACAAGGTCAGAATGTGACTCAAGTAGGATGAATAGAATGGGCTGTTTGAAAGCTAGAATAAGGTATATGGGCTTAACATAATAACAGACTCTGCAAGTCAATCCTTTATACCAATGAATCGTACATTCACTATTTTAACTCTGTTTAGATTTATTATTTTCTCATTACTTAATTGTTTGTCTTACATAGTTATAAGCATGTATCCATTATGTAATCCTATATTTATTGGTCATTTTCTATTTATTGTATGATTGTTAGATATAACAAGTTATCTATTATTATGGCATTTATTATATATTTGAAAACGCTTACATTTTTAATTATTAGGAAAGAGAAAATCTAGAACGTAACTTATCCGATGCACAGAAAAAATGTCATACAATGGATACAAGTGAACGTGATATGAGAAATCTTATTTTACGCGCTGAAGAAGATAAAAAACGTTTAGCTCAAAGAATAGAAAAATTAACTGCAAATGGTATAGTATTACTTTAAAAAGAAATTCAACATTTCTTTACATTATTTAAAATAATTTTATTACTTCAAATATACATGTGGAATATGTTGCTTTTATTTAAATTACTATCCTAACCTTGAATTCAATATCCATTTGCTGAAGAAATCAGTTTTACTGGTTGAGATCATGAGTCATTTGAAGCTAGACCAACATAGAAAACCTGGAAGCACTGGACGGCCGTTTCGTCCTAGTATGGGACTCCTCAACAGTGCGCATCCACGACCCCGATCCCTGCGAGATTTGAACTCAGGACCTACTGGTTTCGCGCGCGAGCACTTAAACACTAGAACACTCAGTCGGCATCCGCATCTCACAGGGAGCGAGGTCGTGGATGCGCACTGCTGAGAAGTCCCACGATAGGACGAAACGGCCGTCCAGTGCTTTCACGTTTTCCATGTTGGTCTAGCTTCAAATGACTCAAGATTTCAACTATTGAAATTACTAAAAATCTCCACAAAACCCCTTCTGATAAATCAGTTTTAGATTAAAAGTTTTTAAAAGTAATGCACTTGTTGAAGTCAGTCAGGTCAGATAAATTAAGATTCAAATGGTTAGTATAAATACTGATAGATAAGATACAAGGTAACAAATAAATGAAGTAGAAATAGCCGATACCTTTTTATGTATGACTATGACTTTAAATGGTAGAGAAGATTCTTAACTCAGGAGGAAGATTTTAGTAGAATCGAGTTCACTGAACTGACCAGAATAATCCTGGAATTTTTATAGTTCTACCTTTACAACATTATAGACAAAACTTGTACTTGGTAGAATGACAATGAAGACTTTATGATTAAATGACCCAGCTCGAAGAAAGTAAAATACACCACAAAGAAAAGAATTGGACTTGTTTATATTATATAAACTGAGATCTTTAAAATGAACTTCAAATATTTAGGTTCTTACATGACGATTGAGTACCTGTCGTGGATAATCACGAAGGCCGAATAAATTGGTATCTAAGATCTCAGAATCATCGGGCTTTCTTTTTTATTACTATTGGAAAATATAGCTATTTTTGATTGAGAGCATGAACCGATTGATGTTAGACCACCGTTGGAAACTTGGAAGCACTGGAAAGCTGTTTCGTCCCACTGTAGAACTTCTCAGCAGTGCGCATCCGCGATCCCGCTCGTGGGATTCCAACCCAGAGCCTTCAGTGTCGCGCGTGAACGCCTAACCTACTGGACCACTGAGCCGGCATCCAATGGTGTTAATGTCTAACATCAACCAATCCACGAGATTGCGCGACCATCTTCCATTGTATTGAGGTAGATACCTGTACTCTAGCCGACAAGGACTGGCTCCACTGGTCACAGCTTCTCACTAGAACTCCGAGAATTCCCCTCATGAGGAGTCCCACAGTAGAACGAAACGGCCGTCCATTGCTTCCAGGTTTCCAACAGTGGTCTAATATCAATCGGTTCATGATCTCAATCAAAAACGCAATAATCTCCACAACCCCCATACTGATAGCTATTTTTGATGAATTTCTCGTTTCCGTCTTGAATCCACTATCTCCTGAATAGAACCAAATGTCATTTTAGAATTTTCGACTGTCAATGTTTTCGTATCATACTATTCAGGTTCTTTAGATCCATTTTTTTCAAAAAATCAGAGAGAGAAACTAATTTCTTAGTAACCTTAATTCTTCTTTAATATGATAAATAGTATGTAGATTTCTAATAGAAATAAAAGGTCGTTTGTGTTCGTAATTTTTGTTTTATTCATAATCACTAGACTGACATTTTTGAAAAAATGGTGAAAATTCATCACAAAGTCGTTATAAAATATGTTAAGTCTACTACTAGAACACTTAATACTGAGTTCCTATCCAGTTTCTTTAACGCTAGATTACTTTTATACCTCAACTCATTTAACAGAGAAAAAGAAGCGAAATATCAGTATCTATGATCAGAAAACCAGGGGTATTTAAAGAAATTCATGCCACCTTAGTCATCTAGAACATTCTGCAAACATGTCAAGTATGGCGATGGGATAAATAATTATTCAATCGAAACGTGACAAAATATACATCAATTTCGTAGATGTTTCTGAGATACCTCTTCTTAACACAGACTGGATAAAACACTCACTGACATTTTATGGGCCTCTAGACTTTAACGAGGGATATTTTACGACTGCCTAACAGGAATAAGTGGTCTAAGTAAATCAACTAAGTGATTTTGAGCTATTCTGAATGTGGTTTTTGTTATATCCCGGTGAAGATTAAATTACAGGTAACTTCCGAGGCCTATTAATGGACTAATATTCTATAAATATTCTTATTGTAAAACTATTGAGTAATTAGATTATGTATATTTATATTCCTCTTATTATAAGCTTTATTTTGACCTACGTTTTATTATTGTACGATTTACGATTCTTAAGCTATGCTCAGTCTATTAATTACTGTCCCCCTCGTTCACAGCCACTTTGTGGCTGTGTTATTTTCTATTTTATGGTACGTTGTGGTCTGTCTGATTGATATATAAACCGAGTATGTCTGAAATAAACGGTTCGATTCGATTCGATTCATATTACAGAAGATGGTATTGTGGGTTAGGAGGACATAGGACCAATAAGGACGCTAAACTGCTCATACCGGTTGAACGTCATTGGTTTGGCATAGTGCGAAGATTGTATAAGTCGGATCCTGATTGGTTGATAAGTCGCGTGATAGAAAAGTCAGACATCCAAGGTCATAATAGTTTTTCGCTCATTATTATGCACCGGAAAGCAGAGATTTGATTATGCTATCTAGGAAAAGACAGTGTAAAACATAATTAAGTTGTCAGTATCATTTTAATTACAAAATATACATCAAAGACATATATTTGCTGGAAGAACATTAAAAACTACGAAGAACTGGATAGATGTCTCTTCCTGGCATGGGACTACTCAGAAGAGCGCATCTATGGTTAAACCTGAAATCGAACTCATGAAATTTGGGTTGATATTAAACATATAAACCACTGGATTCCGGTTTATTGACCAAATGTTTTATGTTTGAATAACAAAATTTACAGAGTAAAACGAACTCATTCTATTTAATGGATCCCAAATAGAAGTGTAGCGTGGCGTCGAGTTGAGATTAACTGTGAACACCGCTACCAAGAAACACGTGCCAGACAAATCAGAAGGCGAGGTTGAACGTAACCAGATTTATTTCGTTGGCGATCTCGTGGTATTGAACGAATACCGAGATCGTGCCAAGAAGTGGTACAAGTGGAAGCAGAAGACAGGAGTACGTGCGAACAGTACCAAAAACCGCGGAACAATGATGGAAGGTAATGGAAGCACAAAATGGCTATAATTAGCACAGTTAAACAAAAGCACATTAAAACAAACACTGGTACAGTTGGTTATAATAATAATTGTTTTTATTAAACCAGTCGTGTTCTCGTGATAAATGTGAGTCACTACAGGAGCCCCCCGCTAGAAAGGGTTTACACTTTCGATAAATAGCGGTTTGAATCGTGGGACTGATCGGCTGACGAGCGATTGTAGGACGGAAGAATTGGCGAACAGGAAAGCGATCGTTGATCGTCGAGTTGCCAACGTAGGTCGTTTTCGGAGAACGGTACCAGGAGCGATGTGTTGTATTTATTGTTTGAGTTGGCATGCTACACCAGAGTGGTTTGTATCCAGAATCTGAAGATGGCGTTCGTAGGGGTCCGGACCAGAAACGCTGCAGACGTAGGACGAAACCACGTTGATCCGATGAACCAGAAGCGACCATAACGACCAAGTTCGAGACCAAGCGTGTGCCAAACATTCGAAACGAAGATATCGACTGAGTACGTTGACAAGAGCGTGGGTGATCAGGCCAGCTTTCGCCAAAGTTGACTGAAGTCGACGGAACCAAACGGAGATGGTCGAAGGCGTGGGCTCAGGAAACAAAAAGAAAATCAAAAAAGAGAAGAGTGTAGCATGCGTGTAGTATAGGAATAACCCTACACCGTATCGGTTGTTGATTGTGCGACTAGTCGAGGAAGCGTACGGGTAACCGTACTCGGCGACCGGAACGTGAGACGGCAGTCTCGTTCGCGTCGCGTGAGCCTGCAATCTCATCCGAAGTCAAGGGCGGCGTGGTCTGCTGATCTGGACGTGAGACTGTCGTCTCGTCCGTAGACGGTGCAGATGACGCGTGCTGTTGACTGGGACGTGAGAATGAGGTCTCAGATGTATCTAGCGTGGGACCTGAAGATGGTTTGAGGATCCCGCTAGTAGGTTTGCTAGGTCTAGCATTGAATCTCAGGTTATCAGATAGGGCACTGTCATCGACGTGTGCTGGTTTGAGACGATCAATGCTGACGATCTCGACGCGGCCGTGTCGATCAACCTTGAAGGTCTTTTCGTGACGAGCGATCACGCGAAAAGGGCCTTCGTAAGGTTGTTGCAAAGGTTTGCGTACCGAATCTACTCGTATGAAAACATGTGAACAGGTAGATAACTCTCGAGGGAGAGCGACCTGTCGATGTTGTATTCGAGTTGACACCGGAGACAGCGTTCGCATAAATGCAGACAGTCGTTGGACGTAGTCTGATTTAGCGAAATTAGGTCTGCTCCGTGGTGTGAAGAATTCCCCGGGCAGACGCAATGTCGTGCCGTATACAAGTTCAGCGGCGGAACATTGGATATCTGCCTTTAAACTCGTTCTGATACCTAAAAGAACGAGCGGTAAGGTTTCGTACCAGTCGTCGTTTTCGTGTGCTCGAAGAGCACTTTTAAGTTGCCGGTGAAACCTTTCAACTAAACCGTTTGAAGCTGGATGGTAGGCGGTAGTGCGTATTCGTTCCGTACCAAGCAGCCGAGTAAGTGAGGAGAATAGTGCGGACTCAAATTGTTGTCCTCGGTCAGTCGTGACAGTCGAGGGACAACCATATAGAGCTATCCATCGTTCTACGAAGCGGTGAGCAACTGTCTCCGCCGTGATAGACGTGATGGGTATAGCTTCGGGCCATCTGGTGAAGCGGTCGATGCACGTGAGTATGTGATCATACCCGTGCGATGGTGGCAGTGGTCCTACAATGTCTAAGTGAACGTGATCGAAGCGAGCATCAGGCGTAGCGAATGTACCGAGGGGGGCGGCTACGTGCCTGTGCACTTTTGATCGTTGACATTGTAAGCATTGCTTAGCCCACATACGAACATCTTTATTCATGGACGGCCAGACGTATCGTGCAGCGATGAGGCGTAATGTAGCTGCGATACCTGGGTGAGATAATCCATGCAGGGCATCGAAAACGAGACGGCGATAAGCAGAGGGTACGATGGGTCGAGGAAAACCGGTAGAAGTATCACATAGAATGGTGCCAGAAGTCGTGGCTAGAGGTACTTCCTGATACTGAAGGGACGTAGAGTGTGGTGCTTTGTACAGCTGGGATCGTTTGCTTGGGCAGCGGCCATAGCAGGAAGATCGAGCACCGGCAGGGTAACTGCATTCATTTGGATTCGTGATAGAGCATCGGCAACACAGTTCGACTTGCCTTGGATGTGACGAAGGTCTGTCGTGAACTGGGAGATATAGTCCAAATGTCTGCACTCTCGTGGTGAGTAGCGGTCAGACTTGGTATGCAAAGCATACGTTAAGGGCTTATGGTCGGTGAATAAAATGAATCGACGTCCTTCTACTGCGTGCCGAAAATGTTTGATGGCGCAGTAGGCTGCTAGCAGCTCGCGACCAAAAGCGCTATATCTCGTCTCCGTGGTAGTAAGGCGTCGTGAGAAAAACTCGAGAGGTTGCCAACTACCGGAGATGTTTTGTTGCATGACTGCTCCTATAGCAACATCGGATGCATCAACCGCTATACTAAGCGTGGCTGATGGATCGGGATGGGCGAGAAGAGTGGCTTGCGCAAGAGCCGTTTTGATTTCAGTGAATGCAGTACGTGCAGAATCGTTCATTTCCAATCTGCGTGGGTTGCCGCGTAGTAAGTCGGTTAGTGGTCGTAACCGTTCTGCCGCGTGTGGGATGAAACGACGGTAGAAGTTAACCAAACCGAGAAAAGCCTTCAGTTCCTTGAGTGAGGACGGCACGTTGTACTCCTTTATTGCTTGCACTTTGTCCTCACAAGGTAGAATACCCTCTTGCTTGATAACATGACCCAGAAATATGATTTCTCGTTTACCTAACTCGCATTTGTCTGGGTTAACTACTATTCCATTATCCGAAAGGCGTTGGAATAATAGCGTAAGATGTTGATAATGTTCATCTACGTTTGATGATGCGATTAGCAGGTCATCAATATAGACGTGAACAAAATCGAGGTCTCGTACAATGCTATCGATAAACCTTTGAAAAGTTTGAGCAGCATTCCGTAATCCAAATGGCATTCGTAGGAACTCAAACAAACCGAAAGGAGTCGTGATAGCAGTCTTTTCGATGTCTTCAAGAGCGACTGGGATCTGATGATATGCTCGTACCAGATCGATCTTAGAAAAGATAGTCGTGCCCTTGAGCGATGCCGTGATGTCGTGTATGTGGGGGATGGGGTAGCTATCAAAGCGCGTAACTACGTTTAGAGCTCGGTAGTCGCCGCATGGTCTCCAACTAACCCCATCTTTTTTGCGCACCATGTGTAGAGGAGAGGCCCATGGACTGTGAGAAGGACGAATAATACCAGTAGCTAGTAAATTGTCAAACTCACGCTTAGCAAAAGCTAATTTGTCCGGTGCCAGTCGGCGAGGTCGTGCCGTGACTGGCGGTCCGCGGGTGACTATGTGGTGTACCACACGATTGGTCACCGATGGAAGCTCCTCGAGTGGTTTAGTGATTACGGGGAATTTCTCGAATAAAGCGTGGAATTTATCGTCACGCGAATAAAAAGTGCCCAGGATTCGGTACGCGTTCATGTGGGCTTTACAGCCCATGAATTTGCTGTTCGACGAAGTATCGATTAGCTGCAGCCTACGTGAATCGACAAGCAATTCATAGTGCTGTAGAAAATCGATACCTAGTATGGCTGTGGGAACATCAGCAATGATGAACGTCCACAGATACCGTCGTCGGTTGCCCAGGTTGACCGCGAGTTGTCGTGTACCGTAGGTAGGAATGACTGAGCCATTCGCAGCGCGTAGTCGAAGCACTGTGGCTTGTGACTTGCTGCTACCTCGTGGTACGACAGAAACTTGGGCCCCAGTGTCTACTAGGAACCTAGCGTTCGTGCGGTAATCGTGCACGTAGAATAGGCGACCAACCTGGGGTAAAGGGCCGGCGAGTACGGCCGCTTTTACTCGCCGGCGCTGGCGTTTCCCGCCTTGTATGAGCATGGTGCTCGACAACGGCGGGCGCCAGACCCGAAGGACCTATGGAACCAGCACCAACTGTCACTCGCTTCCGTAGCCGCCTTTCGGCGTGGCCTGGAAGATGCCCTTTTTGGGCGAGTGGTGACGGGTTTGCGAGAACTTGAGCGAGCTCGGGGGACGTAGGGTTGGGGTACGTTACAGCGATCTCGAAAACTAAGACGTGTGTGAATACACCCGGCCCTGTCACCATGAGCTGTGGAATGACCGGCGTCCATGTCTACATTAGGACGTGCCGTCGAAGCGACTACATAGGTGTCTCTATTACTAGTCCTCGCCAAAATTTTGTCTGCTATGAGGGCTACCTGGTTAAGCGGTGAGTCCTCGAGCAGTGCCGTCACAGTAGGTTGGATATGGGCTGGTAGTGACTCGAGCCATAATTCCTTGACTATCTCCGAGTCTGATGCTGTTGGTCCTGCAAGAGATTGCAGGCGCGTGAGGTGATGGCTTGGTTTAGCGTCACCCAGGGGGTGACGTGCTAACAGGGTCCTCAATCGTTCCTCCCTCGATGGGAGGAAATGTCGGAGAATTGCCTCCTTGAGGCGGTCATAAACATTAGGCACGTTAGAATTGAGGACAACCTCACGAACAGCTACTAAATGGTCCCCGGGTAATGACTCGAGAGCGTAGGCGTATTTTTGCCTTTGGCTCGTGATGCGACGAGTCTCGAACTGAGACTCTAAAGCAGCAAACCAGACCTCAGGGTCGTGGGGGATAAATGATACAGGTCGAAAATGAATGGCCTGTACGTCTGAGTCTATAACATTAATAGTATTCTTATCGTTATCCGTCATGTCGTGTATATTATATATTAAAAATTAATATGAAAATATACGACAGACGTGGATAGATAAATAATAGACTCACCAAATTGACTTCTTTGGAAGATTTGACCCGAGGTTGAGGCGTGTTCCAAACTTTGGGATCACCAATGTAGCGTGGCGTCGAGTTGAGATTAACTGTGAACACCGCTACCAAGAAACACGTGCCAGACAAATCAGAAGGCGAGGTTGAACGTAACCAGATTTATTTCGTTGGCGATCTCGTGGTATTGAACGAATACCGAGATCGTGCCAAGAAGTGGTACAAGTGGAAGCAGAAGACAGGAGTACGTGCGAACAGTACCAAAAACCGCGGAACAATGATGGAAGGTAATGGAAGCACAAAATGGCTATAATTAGCACAGTTAAACAAAAGCACATTAAAACAAACACTGGTACAGTTGGTTATAATAATAATTGTTTTTAATAAACCAGTCGTGTTCTCGTGATAAATGTGAGTAACTACAGAAGAACAAGAAACAAAAAATATATATTTATTTATTTGATTGCTTTCATGTAATCCGATGTTTCGCTATTTTGATTATTAGTAACTATCGTATCAACCACTCTACTATTCATGGTCACATTTCAACATATAAATACAAGTTTTCAATCAATGTATTGTGTGTTCAATTCTGATGATTATTTTCAGTTCTGTTTCAACTGTACGAGCTAGTTTATCCTAAACATTTGTTTATAATTGCACTATCGGTATAGGGTTGTGGAGTTTTTTTTGTTGTAATTTTGATTTATTTACAGCTAATGAGAAATTAGCTTGAATTCATTTTACTCTTTAAATCTTGTGATTGTTTGTGTAAATTGAGTAAGGGAACTGGTTGTGTTGTATCTTAATAACATTATGCTAATTGCATACATATATTGTGTATAGTTGTAATAGGAAATTCAACAATGTAACATAAACGTAATTAGTCAGTACGATTGTAGAGTACTGTAGTAAACGAAAATTCACGTGATAAAGATCAATTTATTGTTCAATACAAAATTACAGAATACTTTAGCAAAAAATGAAAAGTATACGTTAAATACATGATATGCACATCGTCCATCAATTGTCCTTTACATGGTTTATGATTCTCTCAATTCTATTGCCCTTTATGTTCTCTTCAATCCAATCTTCTCAATTTTATATTGACATGTATTCTACTACAGATTCATGCTAGGTACTACTCATATGTGTCAGCATAAGTAGCATATACCACAGCACTATTGCACTCAAATTATTGCAAGGTCATTCAACTTATGTTTCTAAGCTGATTTCCAAATGACTCTATTGAACTGTGTTAAGCTTACTTTCATGTTTGGAATGAAATGATGAAAATCATATATAAAAATATGTAAACAAAATATGTTGATTTTCGAAAACTAAATCGCCTGAGTATCAAGTCTTGATCTGTGAATTATATTGAAAATTAAATAACCTTTCAGGTATTGGCATTGTTGTTCGTCTATATGTTTAATCTAGTTAGCGTATTTTTATCAAGCCTTTTTTCTGCTGGATGGGATTGTCAACTCCGTACCAAATTCCCCTCCTTTACCCGAACTTGGGACCGGCAGCAGCCCTAGAAGAGCTACAAGCGGAGTTTCTCTATCTATAAATCTAAGATTAATTATATGTATCGACGATATTTCCTTTTTTTCAGTGCGTCACCATTTTTCATTTCTCAAACTTTTTTAAAAATTATTATTATTTTAGAACGAGCTCTAGTTCTAGAATTAGAAAGACTTAAACGACATGGTGGTACAAGCGATGGTCGAACTAAACGTATCAGTCAATTAGATGAATTTATATCTGGAATTGAAGCAGATCGTGATTATTGGCGTGGACAAGTGGAAATATTGCAACAAATGTTAAATTATCCTTCATTAACAAGTGGAACTGAAGGTAGTGGGATTGGACGTACAACAACAAGTAGTCGATTGAAAAGTAAACCACCTACTGGACAACATACAACAACACCAAGTAAATTAGGTGGTTCTTTAAAAGATGCAAAACAAAGAAAAGTAAATAATTTTACTGGTCTATATATAGTTTATTCAATAAATAATCGAATTGATAGAATAAAGATTTTATTTTTTAAAATTTCGCAGTATGTTAGTTTGATACCGTTCAATAAATATACTACCCTCATTCATAGGAATACAGTAAGTTTTTGTTCTTCAAAAACACTCATAGAAGTTCTCAGGATTCAGGCTCTTCAACTACCGTATTGTCTCCATGTTATTTGTATACCACCTTCGCATGGCTATTTTGTATTTCAATAATAAACATAATTTTCGAGGGCTGTTATGTCTGATGAGTAGAGAAGGGTTGTAAAGAACTATGGTTATTCAGTAAACAATTTCATATGTACACATAGGACAATAATGAGCGATAAAAATTAGAAAGTCTCAATAATTGTTATAATTATAAAGAAATTAAAAATTACATTAATTAGTAGTTACGTAATGTCAAACCACCAAGGTTATGCCAAATCATAACGTACAATTAGACCTTTATCCCTAAAGTTCACAAGTTTACCGAATAGACTGTATTTACACAAATTATACTCTTATCCACTTTTCATACATGAGTGATTGCTTAAATACCTTGAATAACTACTTTTAACTGAACATCTGTTACTAATAATTAACATTTTACAAATACTGTTAGTTAGGTTGTAAACAATAAAAGTAAGCTTCTAAATGCAAAGCAATGATACAATGAAAAAAAGGGAAAAAAGAACAACTAAACAGTAGCTAATTATCTTGCATTTGAAGAGCACATTTGATCAACTATTGTTATAATAAGTTTAATATAAAATGAAGATGAACTAAGGTATATAGTATTCATCTGCAATTTAATAACATGATTAATGTTTTATAGTGAAATACGAAATTTGATGTGGTTTGTATTCACTACTGAATATGTCAAAATATGATTTATATATTAGATTACTTAGTTTAGAGAATGATGTATTAAATGTCTTATTAACGGTAGATTTTTCCGCAAACTTTTGTATTTATTTTAGTTAAAAATATCAAATTAAAACTGTATCAAAGCTCTCAGTTCTACTAAGGTATTTGTTATGAATAAGTTAGATCACTTGTTAATTGTTGATATTTCAAACAAGTGTGATACAAAAAAGTTAAATATTACTCTATATTTGAACACCCGATTTGATGAGGCATCATACTAAAGGATATTAATGGACTAATATGTGCTAGTGAGCTCTTTCAATGTTATATAATAGTTGGATTTTCATGAGACCTAGTGTGTATATGTTCCTGTTTGTACTCCAAGTTGTCTATGAAACTTATAACAGTCCTTAGACAATAGTAATATAAACTTCTAAAAATTCAAAGAATAATTAATAGAAACATTAAATTCACTTGGTATTGTTTACTTGAATCTTTCTATTGATGTTTAGGACTGCAGGTGATCAATCTCTTATTGGCATTCGTGCATTTTGTACGGATTCTCTCAATATTGCATTAATTTACAAGCATTATAAGCAAAGATAGTAGCTAGCAGTATAATCCAGGGCACGCGTTTCGTCATATTTGGGACTTTTCAGCTGGATGTAATTGCATCCCAGAGTTGGTGTTCACTCTGGGAATCGAACCCAACACCTTACCCTTCAAAAATCATCACGTTATCCACTCAGCTACAGAGGTCAACTGCTAGCCACTATACATCATTCCTTATAATGAAATAAAGCAATATCGAGGCAATTTATTTATTTATTTGAACACGTAAATATTGGTACAATAGGGCACCAAATATATGTGCGCCACAAAAAACAATGGGAAATTGGAGAGAAAAAGGAAAAAGAGTAAGGAGCGTAAAAGAATAACAAAAAACAATAACGTACAGATTAGTGTAAGGTAGTGTAATAATAATAATGGGTGAAACGGAAACGCACAATCAGTTAAGGAAGATACAACCACTTTTTATGAAGAAAGTAAAAGAAGGTTACAGCAAGATCGCCACTGGCTTCTATTCTGAGCCATATCTGATAACGTCTGTAGCCACTGTGTTGCACCATCTCTCGGACCCCAGCCAGGCAGTAATGAAGGACCAACAGAAGCCAGTCCTTTACAGCTTTCTGTCATCCCACGACACCATGTCATACACTGACCACCTCTCCGCTTTCTCCAACCAGTCCCAGAGTCGGCAAATAATGCACGACGTGGAATTCTCTGGGACGACATTCGGAGAACATGTCCAAGCCACCGAAGTCGGTGTTTCAAGATGGTGACACCAATTGGATTATCGTCTCTGTACTCGAACACACGATGCCGAACCTCTGCATTACTAACATGATGTTGCCACTAGATGTCAGCAATCCTTCGGAGGCAGCGATGATCAAACACAGAGAGTCGTCTAACGTCCTCAACTCGGAGAGGCCAGGTTTCACAAGCATAGAGCAAAACTGCTCTCACCGACGCATTTTAGATCCGACATTTTACAGCCAGACTAACATCACGAAGGCGTCAAAGATGGCCCAGATTGGCATAAGCCGCTCTGGCTTTCACTATACGTGCATTGATCTCATCACTCACGCCACCACCACCAGCACTTATGCAGCTACGCAGATACACGAACTTCTCGACTACTTCTATCTGCTCACCATCCAGGATGAGTACAGGATTAGAATCCTGCCAGTCTTGTAGAAGTACTTTGCACTTCGAAGGTGCAAAGCACATACCATACCTACGGACACTGATTGCCAACTGATTAAGTGTAGATCGGATGGCTTGTGCATTATCGCACAGTAAGACAATATCGTCCGCATACTCAAGGTCGAGAAGTCTTTCTCCAGGCAACAGATCCACACCACCATTACTTACATTCATCAGAGCTGTTTCCAGAATGTCATCGATGGCAAAGTTGAAGAGGAATGGTGAGATTGGGCAACCCTGCCTAACCCCACTGCTCGAATGGAACAATGGAGAAAGGTGGTTGTATGCCCTCACTCTGCCTGAGGTGTTTGTATATAGAGCCTTTAGGATGTTAATAAACTTCTCAGGCACACCCTTCTTCAATAGACAATCCCAGAGAACAGTCCAGTCCAACGAATCGAAGGCAGCCCTGATGTCAAGAAACACTACGATTGTTGGCCTTTGATAGTATGGCGGTGTTCTAACATTTGGCGGAGGGTGAAGATATGATCAATACATCCTCGACCAGAACGAAACCCAGCCTGCTCCTCGCGAGTCAATCTTTCTCGGGTTTTGAACAACCTACGAAGTATGACGGAAGCCAATAGCTTGGACGCAATCGGAAGTAGACTTATCCCCCGATAGTTGTTACAGGAACGACGTGAACCCTTTTTAAAGATAGGGACAACTATCGACTCATTCCATGACGTTGGTACACTCTCTAGTTCCCAAACCTTTGTAAACAACGTCGTCAATTCCTTAGTCAAAAAGTCACCACCATCTTTAAAAAGAGCCGGAGGTAAGTCATCTGGGCCAGGTGATTTGTAACGCTTCAAGAGTTGGAGTTCCTTGCGGACTTCCGCCTCATTTGGTGGATCAGTCGTCACCGGCCATGGAGGGCAGGACAGTCTGACCGATGTTGCCGGAGCAGCAGGCCAGTTGAACTGCCCTTCGAAAAATTCTGCCCATCGTCCAAGACGTCGATGGATGTTAGTGATTGGCATCCCATCATCCTCGCAGATTGTTTCACTCACACCAGACTTCTTGCTGCCAGTGGCTCGGATGAGTTGGAAGAGCTTCCGGTAATTACCAGATGCAGCTGCTGCTTCCAGCTCATTAGCACGCTCGACCACCAGGCTTCTCGGTCCTTACGCAAGCTTTGCCCAATTTCCTTACGTAACATCCTTCGTTTATGGTCAAACTCACGGTCACCCGGAGTAGACCGACGGGCTTCAATGAGTTGTAAGGAACCAGAAGAAACCCAGTGCTTAAAGCGGGACGTTTCGCAAACCCACAACTGACTGTTCCCGCCATTTTCATGGCGTCATGCAATTGCAACCAATGCTCATCTATACTTTTCGGTGGAGTGGTAGCTAGCCTAGAGGCTAGCTCGGTTCGATACTTACTTGCAACAGAAGTTGCAACCAGCTTGCTAACATCAATCCTTTGGTGGTGGTCACTTCGTTGGCCACTGAAAAGTAAGGCAAGATTGGCGCAGACCAAGGCATGGTCAGAGTCCAGATAGGTACTCCAAAAGGAGCGGCAGTCTTGTACACAACCACGCCAGCGGTAGCTGATCGCGATGTGATCAATCTGAGTCCAGGCTTGAGATGCAGAGGGAGGACGCCAGGTGGCACATCGGCGATGACTGTGCCGAAAGTTAGTGCTAGCCAGAAACAGGTTGTGGTCTGTGCAAAGTTGCAGTAGACGGTCCCCGTTATCTGACCTGCGACCAACGAGTCCCCATCGGCCACCTAAACGACTCTCTTCTGTGCCTAGACGCCCGACCTGAGCATTCAAGTCTCCGGCTAGTACTACAATATCTGTCGAACGCACTTTCTGGAGAAGAACAGATAACTGGTGGTAAAACTCATCCTTGATTGCATCCGGGCTGCAATCTGTCGGGGCATAGGCGGAGATGACGAAAAGACATCGTTTCTCACGCCGATTTCTTCTCACTTTGATGGAACTTTCTAATCTAACAGCACATAACCGACTGTTAATGGGGATCCAATCGACTAGTGCTGCCTCAGCTCTAGCGCTTAGTGCGACACCAACGCCAGCAAGACCAGACGAAGATGCCACAAGGTCCCCGGATAAGCGCACGTAAAACAAGCTTTTTGAAGCGACAGATGGAAAGCGAATTTGTAGTACTTCACCAGAGTCTTGAATACGGGTCTCGGATAGACAGCAGACATCGATATGAAGACTTTCCAAAGACATAGCCAGCCCTATCTGTTGTCCAACCTGCATAAGTGTGCGAACGCTGAAGGCAGCCAGTTTGAATGGTGCCTGTGGTTTCAGAAAAACCGCTTCAGTACTCATATTCGGTAGTAACATACAGTTTTCAACCGGACAGTGGCTCGAGAACGATGAGATAGAGCCGAATTTTCACCATAGGAAAGCTGTTGTTTAAGTCGAAAAATGAGGATAGACAGAGTGAGAATAAAAGAGTGATTAAATGACGTAGTAAATAACAATAATAGTAATAATAATAATGTGAGTCATTTTGATTGTTAAGCGCAGCAAGAAGAGTATTTTCCATAAATATAGACAGTTCATCATAATTGTGTGTGGAGTGTGATACTACCCGGGTGCCCAGACAGAAGCAGGTGGTTTTCTTACGGGGCTACACTCCGAGCCTTTGACCTGAAGGTCTGACCTACAAGGCAGTGGAGCATCGTGAGGAGATGCAGTCCCATGGTAGCCGGTGACCGAAAATTGGTTCATACGCCATTTGTTCCGACAGGATACTGAAGCCCATGTGCACCATTGGTTTGGGATCCGGTTAAAGTGCCGGACATTCGTTTTTCGTTCTCGCATTTTCGTAAACAACACCCCCGCCACGAGAAGGCAGTGAGTAGGACTTCCCTGACAGAGGCTGTATACGCGTGACCATGTCAGAGTATTTCGAGAGGGAGGGCGAGCCCGCCCCACTCTTGGTCATACCAGGGCATTTGGGGGCAATACACACAGTATGCACTTATGCCAATAAGAGACTGATCAATCGCAGTCCTAAAATTCAATAGGAATATTCTAATAAACAATACCAAGTGAATTCAAGTTTCACCTCATTGCACAAGCCAGTGGTTATCAGGACTCAATAGTAAGTAGATTATACGATGACATTTGAAGCGAACAGTACTAGGTATGACTCTCGGAGTGAACATCAACTCAGATGCGCCTACATCCATCTGATGAGTCTTAAATGGGACGAAACATGCGTCCTGGATTCTGCTGCTAGCCACTGTCCATCACTGCTTATAATACTAGACACTAGTTCATTTTGACATAGTATCATTAGCATTTTAATAATAAGGTATTTTGAGTAAAAAAAGTTGGAATATTTTCTACATTTTGTTTTAGTGACTGTCTTAAGATGTAAATGTATTTAACAGCTTTCATTGGAACATAAAAATCACTCGACAATAGAGTTTATAGCCCTCAAAATAGTATATAGGTGCGATATTATCATTTAAATCGATATAAAACTCAACAATGCTATTGGTTAGGAATTCAACTGGGAGTTTTGCTAAGTAAAATGTATTGAGTTTAATTAAAGAGACTCTTTTGTGCTTCAATGACTTCAACTAATTTAAATTAATATTATTGATACTACAAGACGGATTATAGATATTATACAAAAATAAACAATAATGAGGTCGTCAACCATACATAAATTGGTTGCGCATGGCTGCCAGAATCTTTTATGATATGTTATCTGATGTAGATGAGATTGAATGCTTTTAGTAAAGCAGAATTGGAAGCCTTTATTTTGGTTATTCACTTAACTTATGGGCATTAGTAGAAAATCAGCTATCATATATGTGAAGAATGAAGATGGGTTAGTTACTTTACATTAGCTCAGTAAAATTTGTATTTATGCCAGGACTATAAAACTCTAAGTGCTTAATTCCAATTGAATTGGATAATGGAAAGTCATTTTAAATGATTTATAATGTCTTGCAAGAAAGGTTATGATATAGATTACCTTTTAATTTACTCAACAATTCATTCTCCTAAAGAATGATTCTGCAAGTAGTTATAAGATGAGATTCATAGGATCGTATGCTTACTGAGAAAAGAGTGATCACAGATCATTTTTATCTATTAATCGTTAAAATAACCCAGTTATCTGACAAATGTGGGCAGTGACAATGCTTAAACAAACTAACTGTTCATTCGTTATAGTTCGTTTATACTTTCACTTTTCTATTACCCAACTTTGGTTTATAGCGTGAATTTAAAAGCCAGATCTCATTCGCTCATTATATTAAATCAATAAGTGAAAAAACCAATCAATCGATTAAAATTCTATAAGACAATGACAAACTTTTTATATTTTGAACATCCATTTTTCTATGGTTAATTATTTTTTCTAACATTATGAGCATATTTGCATCGTAGAAATGAAAAGAGTACATCAAAGGGCATAATTATGAAAGTGGTAGGAAATTGTGATAACTTGATATTCAACCAAAAAAGGACGGAATTTCTTTTTGTAGAGATTCTTAATAATCTCTCTCTCTCTCTCTCTCTCTCTATATATATATATATATATATATATATATATACTACAATGAAGAACGAATATATTCGACAGGGTAATATTAAAACTGTTATGTTCCGATAAACATAATGAGTGGTAACGTTTGGGATCCATTTATGGGCCAATACTATATGCATATTTTTATCGTATAATTGTTAAATAACTAAACTATTCATATTAATATCCCTCTTATTATGAGCATTATTTTGACCTATGAACTGTTGTCATATGATTTACCATTCTTGTATTATGCCCTGTCGATTAGTCACTGCCTCCCACATTCACAGCCACATTTAGCCAAATCTTGTACAAATGTTGTTTCCTAGTTTATGGTACGACGTGGTCTGTCTGGTTAGTATATAAACCCAGTATGTTTGAAATAAATAATTCATATCACAGAGACTGAGATCTGTGTTCTGGACTTAACTGGCTGGTTAGGCGGAAAGCAGGACCAATAAGGACTGTAGAGTGCTCGCACAGATTTTATGCGTCCTTGGTCCGATCGATAATTCACTGTTCTCTAATTGGCGGTATCGTTACGTCATACATCAAGAGGACACTGAGGCCACAAGATAAAACAAAAACATTCTATCAGAACGGGGTTTTGTGGAGATTTTAGTAATTTCAATAGTTGAGATAATGAGTCAATTGAAGCTAGACCACCATGGAAAACCTGGAAGCACTGGAAGGCCGCTTCGTCCTATTGTGGGACTCTTCAGCAGTGCGCATCCACGATCCCGCCTCGTGGTATTTGAACCCAGGACCTAACGGCCGTCCATTGCCCTCAGGTTTTCCATGGTGGTCTAGCTTCAATTGACTCATGATCTCAACTATTGAAAAACATTCTAAAGAATTATGTTCAGTGCTTCAGTGCCGTTTTCCTGAATAACTTTGTAACATCCAATCCTTCGACATTAATTAGAATTTCATCAAACTGAATTAATAAATTGGTCAAGTATTGGACGTTTTCAGTATCACTTAAATATGAGCAAAGTAAAGTTCGTGGCTGAATATGTCGAATAATGAATAATAAAAGTCACTAAAACGCTTATTTATAGCTTGATTAAAACAGTGTATCTGTAATATTTTGATGTAATGAATGAATATCAGTACGATAAACACACTACGAAGAAACCACTCTGCTTTAATGTTATATATATAAAGCATAATGTATATGACTGAAATATTGATTAAACACGATGTATAACTTTTGGATTTCATCTTTAGGAGAGTAACAACTCTTAAGTGTATTGAAGAGTTTTAGGTTATTTGTTATCTTCCTGTTAATTTTCTAGTGATTTTAAACGAAAATCTTAGACCAATTCATTTTTAAAAGACACTTATTTAATGATTGACGTGGTCGAAAAAGTATGAACTATTATATTTTTTTCCTATTTAGTTCAAACTTTCTTTCCCTCACTGTTTTGTAAGCATTAGGTAATATAATATTTACTTCTATATAATACAAATTATATGTTTTAACATCTCTGATTAACTAACTATTTGCACTTTCAGCTTGAACAACAAGTCCAAGAACTACGTGTTGAAAGAGATTTACTACGTCAAGAGTTAGATAGTATAACACGATCTCGTCATAGAAGTCCATCACCAGTGACTAGATCAAGATCATTAAATCGATTTCAGGTAAGCTAGATTTAATACTGTTTTGCTTACTTTGCGTTCAGTTGTGCAGTATATATAGTTTACTTCACGAAATGATCTTAATTAAATAATCGTTGGAGACCAGGAGGATTGGACATCTGTTTTAACCCAGTATGCTCATCTAAGAATTCAGGACTTTCACATCTAGCTACTAGTACTTAACATTTAAGAAACTGAGCCAGCATCCAGTGGTTTGTACGGTTAACTTCAATCAGTTAGTTATATTGCCCAGCTAATTTCCATTTCTGTAGTTGAGTGACTATCCAACACTTGACAAGGTTACACCCTATTAGTCACTGTTTCTTACTTAACAGTATAATTCGAAAATATCCACAAATCCTCTAGTATACATGTCTATATATAAATGATTCATAATGATATCCTAAAAAGCAAACTATGTAACTGACTCTATTCACATAAATTTACTTAGAGCGTTATCAGGTCAATCCACTCGAACTTATTTTAACATATTTTTGATATGGTTAACAAAATGACTGCACTTTTGTTACAAATTATTTTGTATAACTACTAGTATAGGGGTTGTGGAGATTACTAAGTTTTTGAATAAGATCATGAACCGATGGTTGATATTAGACACTATCACCACTGGATGCCGGCTCAGTGGTCAAATAGGTTAAGCGTTCGCGCGCGAGACAGAAGGCCCTGGGTTGTAATCCCGCGAGGGGGATCGTGGATGCTCACTGCTGAGGAGTCCTACAATAGGACGAAACGGCCGTCCAGTGTTTCCAGGTTTCTAACGGTGTTTTAACATCAATCGGTACATGGTCTCAATCCAAAAAATAATTTGCATAAGTTATATTCATCACCGCTGACCTATCTGAGAATGGACATGGATGAAATAACATTAATAACTGCCAACTACACTTTGATACCATGATATAATAGTTTCATGCTCTGCAAATCCTGATTACTTCAAAAAACAAATCTCGTATGTAAAATTCATGTGATCATGAGATCAATTAAGATTATTTCACATTGGATTTCATTTACTAATTTACCATCTATATTCAATAATTATCAGTTAATGAATTTGTCGAATTTAACATTTAACATTCGAACAAATAAAACGACATTGAACTGATTAGTACAACGAAAAGTGTATTAAAGGTCAACTGGACAAATGTCACCTTAAATTAATGTCAGTTTTAAAGTTGACATTTTTCAAATACGTTGAAATAATACACTAGGCATTGATTACATTCGATATAACTGAATTGCTGGCATCTGCTGGGATCACCGGGTAAGTAATAGTGAGGTTAGACGCAGGGTATTAGGGAATGATGGTAAATCAGTTGATGAGGTTATGAATCTTCATCGACTGAGATGGTTGGGCCACGTATTACGTATGCCTGAACACCGATTACCGCGACGTGCAATGCTAACCGGTGTAGGGGATGGTTGGAAGAAAGTTAGGCGCGGCCAAACCAAAACGTGGCATCAGTGCCTGAAGTCACTAACTTCTAGTCTGAGCCATGTTGGTAGATGCAGACTACTTGGTTGGGGTCCGCGTGACTTTCGTAACCAATGGTTGGAGACCCTTGGTGACATGGCTCAGAATCGATCACAATGGCGTCGGTGTATACACTCTCTGTCTTCTCTTAAACTAAGAGATTAAGATCACTTCACATCTTTCTTTCTACGAACTAATTCTTTCTTCCTATACTATATCCTTATTGCAATCCTTCTCCTATATATTACCACCTTTGACCTAACCACTCCTATGAATCCAGTGTTCATCTTGCTGTGCTAATGAGGTATGGCAACCTGGGCCGATGCATACATGTGCCTGGTCCTACGTTGTAGCTGACTGACTGACTGACTGACTGGCTCCTTTCATTTTGATAACATACTTACGTAACATATATAATACATTATTTAGGAGCGTTGAGGGTTTCTACTCATCTTTCTTGAGTTTGTTTTATTGTCTTTCTGTGATGTTACTAAACTTGTTAATATTAAATTAAGTTTAACAGAAAGATTGTAAGCCCTACCGTCAGTTTCTAATTTCCCACGACGGTTGTATGTTCATCAGAGTACACTAGGAATTATTAGTGAGTTGCGTCACTAGGGTTGGGTAACTTAAAAACGTAACCAGGCGCGTATCCTGAGAAGATATTACTCACTTACTTACGCCTGTTACCCCTCATAGAGGAACATAGGCCACACACAGCTTTTTTCATCCAACTCGGTTATGGGCAATCCTACTCAGTTGTTTCCAGTTGCTATTCATCCTTTTGATTCCTGTTTCCAAATACTCGACTCAGTGTATTCTCAGGTCTTCCTCTTTTCCGTTTTTTTCCAGGATTCCAAGTTAGCGCTTACCTCGTGATGCAGTATGATTTCCGCAATGTGCGTCCTATCCACCTCCAATGTTTTTCCTAGTTTCCCGTATAAAAAAAGCTTGCTAAAAAAACGCTAACCAGAATAATAAGATATATATATATATATATATATATATATATATATATATATATATATATATATATATATATATATATATATATATCACGCTTTAGTAAAACGTTCTAAATGATTAAATCAGATATTTAAGTTGTTTAAAGTAGTATCATACAGACTGAACATAATGAAATATTACAATAGCCTACTTACTTGCTTACTTATGTGTAATGTTGTTTAATACCATTCACTTGTTAAACTATAGTAGACATGTGGTAGGTAAAATTTGCCGTTTTATTTTGTTATAAACTTATTGGTTATAAGTAAGTTTTACATCCAGATATGATGGATGAAATGAGTGGAGTTTTATTATAGATACATGACTATGGTTATTAGGTCCAAATACAATTCATTCGATAGTTCTTATCAGTGGTGTTAAATTTTCAGTGACTTATCTAGAGAAATACACATTTTCTCGTGGTGGTTAATTTATTTACATCTAATGTGAAGAACTAGATAGTCTGACAGAAATATCGGCGACCATGCATGTTTATGAGACTTTTCACTTGACTTATTGTCTAATATAACACTGAATCGTCAGCTCAAATGTAATGACGGACAGATGTTATATTATATCGACTTTACTCTTTAGCTGCTATTAAAGTTCTTGTTGCTACTTTTACTATCGAACTGCTTGAAACATATCAGAAATCTATTGATCCACGGATGTTTACTCTCAGAGCCACAGTTAAGATTGAGATCATATTTATAAAACCTCAAAGAAGTGAGATAAATGGGAATTATATTTCAAGAGTTTGGCATGAACAAATAAACAAATGTATGGCAGAGATGGTTCAATAAGTAAAGAACATGTATAGAATATTATTAAACATACACGATAAATTCGAACAAACTAGAAATGTACAACTGTTAAGAATTCATAGATGAGTTTGGTAGCACATATATAATAGTTACAACATTAACCCCTTCGTAGAATATAGATATTATTAGTTATATCTGTATATGAAAACTAGTAGAATAACGTAAAAGAAATACAAAGATTAAAGTTGGCAGTCCGTTATACATAATGCAGTCAGATAATAAAATGATTAACAGAAGAGTTATTTGAGGTAATAGCAATGACATAATTGACGAAATGATACGTTAAAAATGTACAGTAAAGGTAGGTTGCTTGTGTAATAAGTATGAGATTATAGAATTTTCTTAAACATTTTATCTCTTAATGAATCTAGTTAGATCATCTTTAAAAATTCAGAAGCTTAATCTTCATCCTAACGAGGATTGAACTGTGTCTACTTCAAAAGCTTAATCTTATAAGGAAGATTTATTTTATATATACCCACAAAGAATTAATCCATTCAGTAAACTACCGACTACATTGAGTAATTTGTCAACAGTACAAATTGTACGTTAACCAAAAACCTACAATAAATTAATTGACATATATGAAAATGTGCTGAAATCCTTTGATTTCTTCCAAATACATCTTTCTTCTCGAATTTAGCTTTTGAAGTAGCTGGGGCTAAGAGATGAATGAGCTATTTTATCGTGTTTTTAAGGTTAGATAATATTTACTTCAAATATTACAAACATCACATACACTTAGTTTCTTTGCTCTGTTTCTTACTAGTAGGAAATAATAATAAGTTATTGATTAACCTTTGAGCTACACATTGGTAGCATTGTTCATTACAAAGAGCTTTGGACAGCAGTTTCCTTAAAAAGCAATGTTCTATAGTAAATTTAATTTCATTGGACAGAGATTAGATTTCTAACGGGTTCAATTTGAAAGGATATAATTGGAGATATATGTTAAGAATATAAATGTTATTTTTCAATTTTCAAGAAGTCATATACTGTAACAGTAATAAAACGTTGAGTGTTATATCATGTATTTAGTTTTAATCACTGTAGCAAAGGCTATCTTCATGATTATTTGCATGAAATTGGAATATTTTTGCCCCTTAATCAAGGGACTATTTGACTATTAAAACACTGGACTTATACAAGTTTACTATTTTAGATACCAGTTAAATTTCAAAGATTTTATTGATACTGTGGTGTGTTCTACTGATGTCGATAAATATAAGTAGTATATATCATCAATCAAAAGTGAAATGCCTGGAGACAGAAGGTTAAGAGGATCAAAGAAAAGAGAACGGGAACAAAGAATGATTAGTGTGAAAATAAAAGAACAATGAAGTCTGAGACAAATGATTAATGTTTGAGAAAGGGAACAGTCAAGTTTGAGAAAATTGATTGGCATTTCTCAAATTTACTGTCTGGTTCTCAGATTTTACTAATTTGTTCTATAATTTTATGTCCAAATACATTCGATCGTCTCAGCTTGTGCTTTCTTTCACTATGACATGATTACTGATAAACTAGCATGAAGTTACTCGTCCGTCAATATCTTCCAGCATGTGGTTAAATGTACATTAGTCATCATTGGAATCCAAACATATATTTTCGCAATTTCATAGCTCAATTTAGATCACTTTCTTTACATAAGAAAAATATCCCAGAAATTTTGATTCAGAAAGCATTCTGCTGAAGATAAGTTTTATTTCATTATTTTATTCAAAAACATATTGATCTTCTGGATTTATATAAATGAAGTAGTTCATTTTGTATAAAATACTCCATGGTCGTTGTCATTGTCCATTTTTTTTCATTGTAATTTCTTTTAGACTCGAGACGATTACACGGAGTTGACTAAACTTCGACAAGAACGCGATGAATTACGAAGTTTACTCAATAAACTAGAACATAGAGTTCAAGAAGTAAGTAGAATTTTAACGTATATATATATATATATATATATATATATATATATATATATATATACCAATAAGGGAAGTAAATTAGACTATTTACAAATTATTTATTATTTATTTCTTTGAACAAATAAATATTGGTACAAAAAGGCACCAAATATATATGCACCACACAAAACAATGAGAACGGGAAGAGAGAAAAAAGGTAAGGAGCGTAAAAGAAAAGAAAAAAAGAAGAACAATAATGACCACAGATTAGTGTAAGGTAGTGTGATAATAATAATAATAATAATAATAATAATAATAATAATAATAATAAGGGAAACGGAAAGGTACAACCAGAAGAAATCTTTCGGTTAAGGAAGAAACAATCACTTTTTATGAAGAAAGTAAAAGGTTACAACAGGATCACCACTGGCTTATATTCTCGGCCATATCTGATAACGTCTGTAGCCACTGTGTTGCACCATCTCTCGGACCCCTACCACGGAGTCGTGAAGGACCAACAGAAGCCAGCCCCTTGCAGCTTCCTTTCATGCCACGACACCATGGCATGCACTGACCACCTCTCCGCTTCTTCCAACCAGTCCCAGAGTCGGCAAATAATGCACGACGTGGAATTCTCTGGGACGACATTCGGAGAACATGTCCAAGCCACCGAAGTCGGTGTTTCAAGATGGTGACACCAATTGGATTATCGTCTCTGTACTCGAACACACGATGCCGAACCTCCGCATTACTAACATGATGTTGCCACTAGATGTCAGCAATCCTTCGGAGGCAGCGATGATCAAACACAGAGAGTCGTCTAACGTCCTCAACTCGGAGAGGCCAGGGTTCAAAAGCATAGAGAAAAAAAACTACTCTCACCGACGCATTTTAGATCCGACATTTTACAGCCAGACTAACATCACGAAGGCGTCAAAGATGGCCCAGACTGGCATAAGCCGCTCTGGCTTTCACTATACGTGCATTGATCTCATCACTCACGCCACCACCAACAGCACTTATGCAGCTACGCAGATACACGAACTTCTCGACTACTTCTATCTGCTCACCATTCAGGATGAGTATAGGATTAGAATCCTGCCAGTCTTGTAGAAGTACTTTTCACTTCGAAGGTGCAAAGCACATACCGTACCTACGGACATTGATTGCCAACTGATTGAGTGTAGATCGGATGGCTTGTGCATTATCGAACAGCAAGGCAATATCATCCGTATACTCAAGGTCGAGAAATCTTTCTCCAGGCAACAGATCCACACCACCATTACTTACATCCATCAGAGCTGTTTCCAGAATGTCATCGATGGCAAAGTTGAAGAGGAATGGTGAGATTGAGCAACCCTGTCTAACCCCACTACTCGAATGGAACAATGGAGAGAGGTGGTTGTATGCCCTCACTCTACCTGAGGTGTTTTTATATAGGGCTTTTAGGATGTTAATAAACTTCCCAGGCACACCCTTCTTCAATAGACAATCCCAGAGAACAGTCCAGTCCAACGAATCGAAGGCAGCCCTGATGTCGAGAAACACTACGATTGTTGGTCTGTGATGAGTATGACGGTGTTCTAACATTTGGCAGAGAGTGAAGATATGATCAATATACCCTTGACCAGAACGAAAACCAGCCTGATCCACGCGAGTCAATCTTTCTGGAGTTTTGAACAGCCTACGAAGTATGACGGAAGCCAATAGCTTGGACGCAATGGGAAGTAGACTTATCCCCCGATGGTTGTTACAGGAACGACGTGAACTCTTTTTAAAGATAGGGACAACTATCAACTCATTCTATGACGTTGGTGCACTCTCTAGCTCCCAGACTTTTGTAAACAACGTTGTCAGTTCTTTAGCCAGAATTCACCACCATCTTTAAAATGAGCTGGAGGTAAGTCGTCTGGGCTCGGTAATTTGTAGCGCTCTAATGGTTAGAGTTTCCTGCGGACTTCCACCTCATTTGATGGATCAGTCGCCACCGGCCAAATTAACTAGCCCTGAAACTAGATATAACAGCAAACTTCATAGTACAACAACAAATAACTATAAATAATGACGTGATAATACTTCAAGTTTTTTATAATGGTGTAAAGTATAAAGTACTTGTGATGTAATTCGTTTTTCTTATGTATTTAGTCGTTAATAATGAAAATCCATTATTTTTATCAATTATTTGGTACTAAATATCCATACTTGTACACATGAATTAATTAAACTAAGAGATCGTTTGACTACAGTTAAGAATGGGCTATCTGATCTCAGCTTATACGAACAATGAAAATAATATTCTAATTAAATTATTACGTTGTTCTAAATGTTCACCATGCAGCTATATAGTATGAGTTACTACAGTTAATTGACTAGGAAACATTTACTTGGTTTGAGTAAAACAGTAGTAAAAAATGTTACTTAGCCGGAAATTACAGATGAATTCGACATAAGCATTTTTGGCTCACGGAACAAACAGTTTTAGCAAACATACAGTGTTGTATCATTTTTAAATACTTCGCTAAATGGTTGACCAAATTATGTCGTCAGAAGGTCAGAAATTTTCATATTCTATTTATTATGACTTATTGGAAAGTAGTACACTCTTTTTAACGAAAATCCTTAATTCCACGGATATTTAATTCGAATGGTTGAAAACCGAAATAAAATAAACTAAATGCTAAAGAAGTCCTCATTAGGACATGTTAATTTAATATTGATCATATGATCTTTTGTGACTAGCTTCTAGATTGCTGTACTGTTGTTGTAAAGAAAGCTGTGAACTTTGAAGAGTAGAGTGAAGATTATGCTGCACTGCAAGTTGAATGTAGCTTAATGCCAGGAACATTTAATACTAAATAAGTGGGATTGTAAGTACAATCATGCTTAAACGTGAATGACACAATGGGAAGTCGTATGTGCTCGTTGTAACTCAACTCAATACTGCCAACTTCTCTAATATTATATTTAGCTTTAATATTGAGTAACACATATTCTAACTTCAGTTTAGTTCTAGCTCCTAGAAACCTTAAAGTTACTGAATTCTTAACACCAACCTCTAAAGTTCAAAATATCAGTCATATTTCAAGTCCTAACAACTAGGTTTATCTGTCTAGACTATCAAACAATATCAATTTGTCCGTAAAAAATTTTGGTAGATATAAACAAAATGATTTGAGGAGATCAACATAAATTCTTTTTTTTTTGTTCTAGTGAGTTGGTTAAAACATTTTTTTATTAATAAATTTCAAGGGTGAGAATATAATTTATAGACTACCTTTGAGCAATGCCTTGAGAGTGTCTACCTACTTAATAGGGCTAATGATGGTTATAAAGCAGTTTGAAGAACAAAGACAATGATTTACAGTTGATGGTAAGGGTTAGGATTTAGATTTATGGTTTTCATCACGAACTGACATAAGCTAAAATGTGAAGACGCTATTTGGACGAATGAGTGAGTGAATTTCGCGCCTGAATCCGAGACCTGTTTTCCTAAATCTGATTGGTTCGTGCATAAATTATAGTCTCACCATTTTAAGTGAGCAAACTATGATGTTAGAAAACAGTAAATAGTTTTTCATTGTTATTCTTGAATAACTATCCATCAACTTCTGATAAAGTGGAAATTTTATGTAACTTAGTCATCAGGTTTTATGGTCTCTTTTGCGTAAAGAAAAACTAAAATAACAGAATCTTAAAAGTGAAGTATACTCAACACGCCTTAAAATGAAAAAATAATAATAATTCGAGTTTACAAAGTATATGTGTTATGAAACTTCCCATCGATTTTAATATGATTGCCATACATTTACGAAGTACAAACTTGCTAGGGTTGATTCTATCACGCGTTCACTTAATCTGCGAACGAGAACAAATACTCAGTGACCAAAGACCAGTAAGCTAGCTATTTGATGCGTCCCAGCCCCGCTAACTAAAGGGGGAAGTCCAAGCCTGGAATGTGAAAGTATATTCTGCAAACAGCCAGAAACGAGCAAGCCCACAGAGGTCCACAAACACAATTCAAACGTCACAATTGATTGATCACTGGGTGGCGATCAGTGTCATGCGTGTCTAGTCCTTATTAGTGCAGATCGAATGCTATCGACCATGCTGCAATGTGGCCACCAGTCTAGGTGACTCGACACTGCGTGCACTATATATTGAGATTAGATGGTGGTTGAAGGTAGTCGACAGGAAACCCTGGACCCAGGTTTCGTGCTACTTGGCACTCGTCAGCAAGATGTACCTGTAATCTTGAGGGCACACCTTGCTGACAATTGCCAAGTAGCACGAAACCCGGGTCCAGGGTTTCCTGTCGACTACCTCCAATCATCATCTTATCACAATTCAAACGTATATATATCAATTATATGTATATAATCGATATTACCATGGAAGTATCTTCAGACATTGAATCGATGATTTGGTCAATCGACTGCCATAGAAATATTTAACATTTAATCGATAAGAATAGTTTAGTTAATTTACAATTAAACGGCAAAATATATGTATAGTAATGTTCCACAAATGGATCCCAAAAATTACCACTCATTATTCTTATCGGGGCATAACAAAACTATTACATTCGACTTCGAGCTACATCTATTTTGTGAAGATTATTACTTATACAATATTGTCTAAACAGTAAGTGAAACAAAGTACGTGAGTGGAAGATCATTGTATAAAGAAGGGATTTTATATCCTACGTTGGAACTCATAAGTATCAGTAAGTGAACGAGTTATTCTATACCATATCCAATAAGAGTTTATCTATTCTACTTGTTGATTCATGATGTCGAAAATAATTAAAAAATTTCTTAAGTTACAAAATTAATTCCGATCGTGAGTGTCCCTTGAGTGTGATTTCCGAATTATTCAAATACTAATATTGCTTTAGATCTATTATATTATATTGGCAATTCTTTATAGCACAGCCGAAATCTAATTTAAACTTAAACTGTTGATTTTAAGTATAATACTTAAGTGCTTATATGCGTCTAGAGTGTAGTTTCATATATATCTAGGTTTTACCATGATTACATTTAGTTCTTCTCCGCCTGTAACTCTTCTAGAGTTACTGCCGGTCTCAAGTCCGGGAAAGAAGGAGACATAGGGTTGACAACCTCATCCCGTAGAAGATAATCTTGCTAAAAAAACCCAACCAGCAAAGCTAGTTAGTTGTGAGTGAAATGCTGTAGTGGAGTGAATACTGGGAATATTGTAACTTTGAAACTACTTTACAGACTATTATTTGTCATGTCCTATGTTTCGTCAAATGTCACGTGATACAAATCGCCAATCACAATACTGGGTTTCGTGACCTTATTCCCGTACTAAGCCAATGAAAGTCAACCAGCACTAGTAGCCTTCAGTCAACTCTGAGTACTTTTTGGTCCTCTGTTCGGTAGCTGCTTGCGAGGTTATGTACCAGATCGCATCACACTAACAAATGAATAATAATTATTAGACAAGATAAAGCCGAAAGCAGCTATCAGTATGGAAGCCTGTAACTAATAGGTTGGAAATAAATTAAGGTAAACCGTATAACAGTAGCTCACTGGCTAAATGAAAACTTATGTTTAAAGGAATATAAATAAGTATGATCTAGTTAGATGATAATTATACGATAAGAATATATATAATAATTGTTTATAAATAATTCCTTACTTATGCCTGCTACCCCTCGTGGAGGACCATAGGCCACACACCAGCATTCCCCATCTAACTCTGCTCTGGGCAGTCCTTACCAGTTGCTATTCATCCTTAACATGTCTGCTTTCAATACGCGACACAGTGTGTTTTTTGGCCTTCCTCTTTTTCGTTTTCTTTAGAATTCCAAGTTAGCGCTTACCTCGTGATCCGTTTCGATGATTTCCGTAATGTATGTTCTATCCACCTCCAACATATTTTCCTAATTTCCTCTTCATTTGGGACCTGGTTTATTCTCTTTTACAATAGCTTTTTGTTGATCGCATCCGGCCAACAGACGTTGAGTATCTTGAGTGGACAATTGTTTATGAATACTTGTACTTTTTTGATGAGGACTGTGGTAGTTCTCCAAAATAATTCCTAGCAGTTACTATTCATCTATTCTTCGTTTAGATTTAACATTATTGTTTGTATTTTTATTGTATGATTATTAAATAACTGAATTGTTATATTTCTTAAGTCACTGTATCATGAGCTTTTGTTAGACCTATTAAATATTGCTATACGTTTTATTATTCCTTATACCTCATTTGTTCCATTGTATGCCACTTACGTTATGATCTTATGTAAATTATTATTTCTTATTTGAGTGTGTTAAGGTCTATTATTTCATATACGTGAACTAACGAGTGTTTGAGACAAATATACTGGCTGCTTGAAGTGTAGATAGAAGGAGCTTGCCTGGTTTGTTCTCCCATTAAAACTCATGAATTGAAATAGAAGTCAGTCGTATCGACAAAATTTAAGAGTAAAGATTATCTCACCCCAACTCAAGGTTAATCTTGCCAGTTGAGGCATATAAGTAATCAAGGCTTAGTGGTCTAGGTGATTCTAACCAGGATTCAGATTAGCAAATCTTCTCTGTATATCGATTGACCTGTTGTCATCGTACAAGCATGAATTGTATGAGATTCAGAATAAGATAAATTCAACACTTACCAATCTGATTGAGCATAGTCTATTTAGGGGTTTATCTTAGATTAAAAAATTGTAGAAAATGGTTGTTTAAAATTATGCACTCTCACTGATAAGGACTTAAATTCCGTAAATTGTTTAATTAACCATAATTTATAGGTTTTATTCGACACTGACTGTTTTCAATTGCGTTGCCACTGAAAACTAAGAAATAATGGATGATGTGTGATGAATACAAGCTAGAAATTGAATTAATCTTCACAACACTTTCTCAACTAAACTATGATTGCTTACTAGTCATAATTAGAAGTCAATATAATTGAAGTTCAGATAATTGGGAAGTGAATGTTTATAGCTCTATAACACGGGCTGATTGCAGTTAGAACTGCACTACTGTATTACGACCCAATGATTCTAGTGGTTTAGCGTTCACAATATGACTTGAATGCCTTAGATTTTATCCTTAATGATGTGTACACTACTCAGGAATCATATGCCAAAATGGAACACCTATTCAGTGATCCCATGCTTTCTTTAATATCCCATTTGAAATCAAACTGTGAAGAATACGTCACACAAATTAATTCAATCTTCAAAAGAAATCCTTTCAATTAATTAACCATAGATTGTGAAATCCGCCGAGCAGACATATATTATTCCGTCAACTATCATATTTTTTTTCTTTTTCTGCTTTCCAACTGATCTTCATGTTACTTATCTAGTAAAATAAATTTATTTCCATCTAATGAATTTATAAGTTCTATTAACTTCATTACTATCTAATCCATTATTACATGTTTAAAATGTACATAGTAATATTACTTTTTATGATAACCAGTAGCATAACTTAGAAATCAGGTCAACGATATAATTTAATCAGCTCTGTACTAATTAGAGAAAAGACGGAAGTTCATCATTTAAAATAAATATGTTTACATGTTCCTACAGATTTTCTATATTTTATGACTTATTTCAAAGTCTTAATCAATATTATTTGTTTCTCTTCTTTTACTCTATGCTTTGGTTGTATGATATGTTGATAAATAATATAATGTGTAATTACAGTAATTTACTGTTCTAAGCAAAGATGAATAGTGGGTAACAGTGGAATCCAGGACATGCGTTTCATCCTACTTAGGATTCGTCAGCTGGGTGTACTTGTATCGCAGAGTTGATACCCACTCCGGGACTCGAACCCAGTACCGTTTGCTTCAAACGCCATCATGTTATCCACTTAGCTACTGAGTCCTGATAGCTGCCTTCTTGTGTAATGTGGTGAAGTTTAAATTTACTTGGTATTGTTTTACTTGCATCTTCCCGTTGAACATCAACTTTGGGATGCAGGTACGACCAGCCGACGAGTTCCAAATAGGATGAAACGCGCGTCCTAGATTTCACTGCTAGCCACTATCCATTATTACTTAAAAAGCTTGTGACTTAAAGCTATATCGAGGCAATCTGCCCAGGATACACATATGCCAACATGAAACTGATCAATTGCATCCCTAATTAACAATGGGAAGATACAAATAAAACAACACCAAGTGAATTTAATTTGCTGTTCTGTTTTAAGAAAAGAATTAAGTGAAGTATGGAAGGGGTAAATAGGTCCGAATTAATAATTTATATTAGAATGATACCGTTTACATTCAATTTATTTATGAAACTTAGAAAAGTATCTTTTTTTTGTAGGGGTGTAATATAATTATAATGTTAACTGTGTAGATTTTGTCCACGGAAACACTTGAAAAGCACATTAATGACAATAGTGTAAATATATAGTAATTTTAATGACAGTGAGTTGTTTAAATTAATTAGCCTTAGAGTATTTATTAAATTATATAAAAGTACATTGAACATGTTCTTGTCAAAAATCCATTTGATTTAATGAAATTGATTAATTTTAAGTAGTTTATAATAATTCTCTGTGAAAGTCTTCAAAAGACAGGAAATTGATGGAAACATTTCAATCGATCAAATTTCTTCGGTTGCTTGCAAAAGAATTCTGCAAACTAACATAATATTCTTTAAGTTATTTTGATTAGGCAACTACCGATATATATATATATATATATATATATATATATATATAACATTTCTGGTATTTTTCTCAGAAGCTTCTAGAACGTTAAGGTCACATATGGTGCCATGGATACCCTTGTTTTCTGTACTCTAACTAAATTTAAATTTGAAACTTCTTTCGTCCTTTGTCTCCTGTGGATTAAGAAAGTCGACATTAGTACCTAAGTGTTCAGTTATAAGATAAATTAAGATTCAAATATCATACTGTGAACAATATTTCAAATATTTTTAACTATTTGTTAATAAAAGGATAAGATTAAAGAGACAACAATTCAGTTCGCAACACTTAAAAGCATGTATTAAACAGTAAATTACTCACATAATCTTTGTTTTGTTAGGGTTTAACTTTACTAGATATTAAGGACTCAATTTGATCAATATCTGTTGGCATATATTCATATACACTTTGATATTACTTTTTAGTTATTTGTCAGCCAATTGTATCTATACCTCATTATTCATATCTACACTGATACCCAAACCTAATGCATATGGCATCAGTTGTTGATAACTGGTTTATGCAACACTGTACATTCAAATATAATCTTTGTGGAAAGAAATAATTGATTCCCTTTAAATTACATTTGAAATGAAATCACTCTACAAAACGTGTTGAAAGATATCTTTATAACTACTGTTGATGTTTAATCACAAACCCATAGAATACATCTACTCTTAACACTTCATACCCTAGATAATATATGATATTATATATATATATATATATATATATATATATATATATATATATATATATATACCGGATAAGGAATTGCGAAAGGATTTGGTTATCCCTTTTTCTGTATGCATCCTAATGTAGTGGAATACAACACATTAATCTTAGATCTAATGTCAAGTACAATATCTTTAGGATTTTGATTGAGAATCTGATGGTTCGCACTTTTGATCATTAATAGTTTCTCGAAATTACAAATTAGATCATTTTTTTTGCAAACTTCCCTTTTATTCAATATAATTTGTTGCTGTTTCTATAATAATACAGCCTTAACATTTCTTGATCACTTCTTGTGTATTAAATCACTTTGTATTTTTTGCTATTCTTCTTCTTCTTCAGATTCAGCGTAATGTTCATACACTTACACAAGAAAGAGATCAAATTAACAAATTATACAACGATGTAGGTTTACATTATTCCATCTATTATTACTGTTGTCAATGATTTTATCAATAGCAATGAAACATAACATAAACAATTGAGAAATCAGGAATAAAATTATGGATAATTATTATTTAACAGGAATCTTAAGTCACGAATTGATCTTAGTTAGACCGTCGTTGAAAACTTGGAAAGGTTGGATGGCCGTTTCATTTTTGTGTGGAACTCGTCATTAATGGTAATCGGTCATGTGATATTGTGAATTTTAAACAGAGGCGGATGAAAGCGAGTAATGGAACCCAAGACGCCCGTATCATTCAACTTGAGACCGACAAATTGGATGTACCTGTATCTAATAGTTGATTTCCCTATGGGATTCGAACCGAACACTTAAAGCTCCAAACTCCATTGCAATGTCAAACTAGCTACTGAGTCTAAACACTCACTGTATTGTTCAATGGGGTGAATTTGAATCCATTTTTATTAGCCATTGTACAACTCCTGAAAGCGAGGTGGTGAATGCTCATTGCTGAAAATTCCACTATTAATATGAATCGGCTGTTTAGTGCTTTCAAATCTTCACTGGTGATTTAAATTAAATCGGTTCATAAATCCTATGAAATTCAACAATCTGCACAACTACTTACTAACTTTCAAGTATATTATACTAGTAAAGTATTGTGAAATGACGTAACTACTCATGTTATTAAGGATACCGCCATACGAGTTCGTTTCGAATATCCATCAATTTAACCATTTTATGAGTGAAAATATAAGGATGCCAAACTTATGTTTAGAATTGGTTTATCTCAATTTTAAGAATCGAGTAGAAAACTCAACAGTTACAAAATTCAAAGCTAATGTGATTTGTTTAGGTAAATGACCTTCAGTTTGACTATAAGTTTCCAAATCAAACATTCTTTATTTGTGTTTATAAGGAATATACACATTTATCGCTTATCTGGTTTTACAGAAATTATAATTTTCTCTTTTTATTTTCTAACTATAACTATTCACACTAGTCACGAAGTGAAATACACCGATTACATCAAGATCTTTATGCAATGCATGAAACTGGTGATCGAAATACACAAACTACACAAACTGTTTTACGACGTGTTGAATCAGAACGAGATCGTGCATTAGTTGATTTATCCAGAGTAACTGCTGAACGTGATAGTTTAATTACAAAATATAAAGTATGTAAAACACTAAAAATGACTAATTTACTATTGATGTTTTGTATAATCTTAATATGCCTATACATAACACTACACTTATGCACACAAAGTATGATATATAAACACTAGTTTAAATATGCACAGATTTTATTACACTCTATGTTGTTATCATTGTTATTGCTACTGTGTACTGTTTCATCTCACTTTATGGTGTATAACATCTGATCTAGAAACAAATCACTACAGACTTAATAACTTACATAATACTGTTACAGATATATATATATCTATTTATGACAGTTTGATGATTTTTGGTTGTTGCTGTTGTTTCGAGCGAAAAATTCAACTTCTTTATTTTAGAATTGTACAGAAAATGCTCATGCAGATAAATTACGTTTAACTAATCAATTGGATCATTTAGAAAATAGTTTAAATCAAGTTGCAGAAGAACGAGATGAAGTAATCAGACGTGTATCTATGCATCGACTACGTATAGATGAATTACAACAACGTCAACAACAGTTAGAGGATAGTTTGGCTGAACGACAAGAATTACTTAAAGTAAGTTTAATTTATTGATAGAAATGGTTTTCAACTTCCAGTTGTTGGTATTCAGGGCTAAAATTAATCAATGTCTGTTGTTATTTATGTATTTGAATAAGTGATTCGTTCAATCGAAAAGTACTAGGTCTGAGTCTCAGTGTAAACATCAGCACTAGGATGTGCATATATTCAACTGACGGGTCCGAAATAGGACGAAAAATGTGTTCTGGAACTTACTGCTAGTCATATAACAAATATAAGTTTAATTTGGTTTGATCCACTTGCATCTTGACAGTTCTATGTAGTTCGTTTTATGTAATCGAACTCTACTGTAATAAGATGTGAATAGTCTGATCTCTTCTGTTTATGTTCATTAATTTATATGAAGTGAGATAAGTTAATGACAGTTTGCGTTTACTATCATTATGTATAAAACATCAGAAAATAACTCGGTTATATATGAATAAAAAGATGGGTATGAAAAGTTTTTATTCTACGATGCTCAATTGGATATAACCACTTAGGTAGCAAATATAATTATCAATGGAGGTTGTTAATCTCCTCCATGATGTTCTTATTTCTAGCCCCTAATGAAGCTTTGACTATCCAAACTATCCTAATTACACTGTTAATTGTATAACTTCAGACGAAATAATATCAATTTGATTGAGTTGTTTGGTTTTTCAAAACAGCTGCATTTTATTTGACTTCCAATATGGTTGTTTTGCCACATGAATAATTTGATTTCAATCCCTTCAATAGTTTGAAATGACCATTTTTCAAGAAAAGTATGCTCAAGCTGTTCATTACCTTATTTTTCGATCGAAATAAAATCACTTTAATTGAAGTTGGATGAATGGAGAAAGTCGACAGAAAACCCTGAATCTAGATTTCACGATTGTTCATAATTGACAGCAGGAGGTATCTGGAATCTTAAGGGGACTGATGTTCCTTATGGGATTAAGACCTGAGTTATTTAGATTTACAATCTGGAGCATCACTGTAGTAGGATAGGGATATTCACAGATGACTGATCAGTGATCAGTGATCAAGCTTAACAACACTGATGGACTAGATAAATACGACATTGATAATCGCTCAGTGGTCAGTCACTCTGGTACCAACTGACAAATAGATTTTTATTACTTGACCAGTGATTATAAACAGAATAAAAAAGATATATTTATTATGTAAATCCAATCCCATATTCCTTTATACTTTTCTTCATTACTAAGAAAGTAAATGAAGAATCAGCTCAACTCAAACAAGAAGCAGAATTACAAAATAATCGTTTAGAAGAACGTGAATTACAAATATCTCAAATGAATGAAAGAACACGTGTTATGGAGATGGATTGTAGACGGTTACATGAAAGGGTTGATGAGTATGATATGAAATTACGTAAAGAAAGAGATGAATGTTCTCTCTTACGTAACCAACTACAAAATATGGAAGAAGAAAAAGTTAAATTACAAGTGAGTTAAAGTTTACCGTCAGTTCATTCTTCATGAAATTTTAGTGATTTGTCAAGTTATATTTTGAGTCTCAACTTTAAAAAATTAGTGAATATTAGATTGATTGCTCAGCAAGTTCTAAATCCGTTCATGGTGATGGCCCGGTTAGTGATTGGCTGACTTTAAAAGCTTTGATATTTTATACTGTCTTTACATATCCACTGAATAAACATCTACGCTATATGATTAACTGACCTGACCATCATCTATAGACAGGTTGCATATGTGTTAACAGATCTACTGATTCCTGACTGACTTAAATACCGGTATTTTAGAACTTTTCATGGCACAATCAGACTTCAGATAACAGCAAAAGTCACTAAGGAAATATGAATTTAAAAATATCATTGAATTTATCTTTTAAAAATGAACTAACATAAAATAACAGAAGGATTAGATGACCTGAGTCCTCCTTAGCACCCCACACCAATAAAAGGTAAATTTGTTGAATATAATTAGTATTTTGGAAATCTTGAATGATCTACCTAACTATGATACTCAAAAAAATATACTAGGATCCTTTGGGGATTATTAGATAACTCAAAATAAATAGATTTACGAGTGTCTACCAACAAGAAACATAGGTTTGAGCTATGTTGATGTCAAAACGTGAATTTCATATTCATAGTATTATAATTTGATCGGTGAGTGATATACCTGCTTAAATGTCTTAATTCAGTGTTAATACGAGCAGAGATAATAATTCCTTGTTCGGTGATAATATGATACCAATGTGATAATGAGAATATGATGTTTGTTATAATCATGATGGAATGATCAGCCAAACAGATCAATGAGATGAGTCAACACGAGGACAAAGTACCGACAAAGTTATACGATTTGAATATCCTCATGTCCCTTCTGTACTGGTTTTTCTGAATGCGTCGGATTAGAGATTGAGACGGTCTATCAGGAAGCTAGAATAACCCATGTGGTTTTGACTATTATGGTGAATCGTTAATTATTTAAATCGTTTATTCCTTCATTCATTTAGGTTATGTTGTTCCGAATTTTCAAACACAGCATGACTTAAGCTAGACGATCACTCGAAACAGTGTCCACAAACCTTCTCACTTTGTACGTATTATCAGGTTACTTTCTAGTTGTAACGTTGGTCATAGTCATTTATTTTTGCATTGTGAGCATTTGACTACTGTAATATTATTTAAGTAGTTTCAACTGGAGATGATTTTTATGGAAGCTACTACTATTCCTTCATTATGTTTTCTTAATTATAATGTAATTACAATTATTTTCTCGTGAACATGTAAAACATAAGTTTGGTAAAATATTTTTTTGTTTTGTACATAGTGCGACTTTGATAATTTAACATGTGAACGTGATGATTTGGTGAAACATCAACGTCAAATTGAAAAAAGAGCACAAATAAATTTATCAGAACGTGATCGTTTGTCTAGACAAGTGAATGATTTGAATGATTTAAAAGAAAGTCTTGAAAAACAACTTAGACAATTAGAGAAAGATTATTCTGATCAGACAACTAAATATCAAGTAATTACTACGGGTTTTTTTATTCTTACGGTTTATGAGTTTACATAGTTTATTCCAATGTACCCGAACAGAACTACTGTCCCTGGGGTCTTTTAACGGATCTACTCTTCATCAGTATTATCGCTGAATTTATTGAGATGGATTTTCTAAAGGTGTTGCCATAAATATATTACTCTGAACCTGAAAGAACGATCATAGATGATGTATATAAAACCGAATATCGATGCTGTGTCAGGACATATGTGACCAGTATTTGAATGTCTATCTGTCTCACAGTGTAAAACCAGGTGGTTGATGTCGCTGTTATATAGTAAGCTGTTCATGACATTCATTTAGGTGTCTTCCAAACAAAAATCTGGCTAAATATTTATAGATGTAGTGAATTTTCTTTCCACCTATGACGGATCAAACCAAATAATTATAACAGAATTCATCTGAACATTAGGCATTGTGTTTTATGAAATCAGGACACTGTTTATTATATATTAATTCATTTTAAAACGGAATGTTCTGCTTATGTATATATTTAATCAATCATGAATGGATACTTTTATGATTACTGTATTTATTTAAGTGATTGGAATCTTTAATTTGGAAAGCATGCCACTTACTATTAATAAGTAGGTCACCATATCAATGTTAAACTAGTATCAATCCAAACAAACCTTGCTCATCATAGGTTTAAGTGACATTTTTTGTGACTTGATATATATATGCTAATTAATTCACCTACACAACCAATACGACCGGTAACCTACTTTCGCATTGACACACCCACCAATGAACGGTAAGCAACGCCTTAACGCTTATTGATCCTCAAACTCCTAAACAAATAGCCAATAGGAAGTAGACCATTTATCTATTGTGCTCAATTCAGTCATGCCAAAACGTATACAATAATCGAAGTGACATCATAGAGTGCACCAAATACGAAATATTATAATTTGAACGTAATTATGCCATAAGTGATGGAGAGTTGAACTACCAGTGCATAATTTATTAGTAACATCTATGGAATAGTAAGACGTATGGCGACAGTTAATATGTCCGTTAAAAGCTAACGATGAGAGGAATATAGAAATATAACAACAGTTATTCAATTAGAAATACAGATAATAATAATTGAAAAAATAACTTCATAACTTCTAACTCCCAGTAACCGTCACGTTATAACGCAGACATAATGAGAAAATTTCGTAACGATAATTGAATCTAATCAACTCATTCTATGTTTTTACAACGAAAAATTTTATTATTTTTTTCTCGTATATTTAAAGCTTGAACGTGAGGCAAATGAAAAATTACAACAACGTATAGATACAGCTATTCATAATAAAAATTCAATTGATCGAAGAGCTAATTGGTTGGAACAACAAACAGAGGAATTAAGATCACATATAGATCAATTGCAACAACAATTATCTACTCAAAAAGATGAAAATAAATGGATGTCAGAAACTAATGAAAAATTGACAGCTGATAATGAATCACTAAGAGTGTGTGATTATACTTTATGTTTGTTATCTGTAAAATATTTGTCTTTAGAAATGAGAATTGTTTTTTGCTATGAGCCTCAATTCAATAGTGAAAAGACTTCAGGACCATGTAATTTCATATGATGGTTCATAAGTTTACTCAATCGGCGTCTGATCATGTTGAGACATGATAAGCTCGTCTCATTATCTAATCTATAACACGGAAAAGTGAACTGCTAAAATCATTTTCTCTGATGATAAAATTTCGTTATAACATTGAAACAGTTCTCGACATAAGCCTTTATAAAGTGTTGTAGTGAACAGAACACGGGTGGAGACAACCGGGTTTATTTAGCACAAAATTACAGAGTTACTTGGTAAAATAGAAAAACCAAATAGTAAGTCGTTAATTTGCAAAATATCATTACATCATATCAAACCGGACTGCTGCCATTGCAAACATCAATCCACTGTCTCACATTGTTCATGCGGTTTCTTACAAATTCCATTGTGTTCTCGCTCTTCCTTTCTTGATCTTCCCCCATCTTCTGCTGCCAGACATTACGTTCTTTAACTCGCGTTATATACTACTTATATCAAATTAAGTAGCACGCACCACAGTGTCTCTGTTTAATCATAGTTAATTGATTAATTTGTTGAGTAGTTTGATAGAGCTTGTAAACGGCTAGAAAACTTGACAATCAGTTTTGCATTAAGTTCAGGACATACTTCAAGGAAATATGAGTAAAGCCTCTACATTGTGACTTAAGGCCTTATAGCTGAATATTTGCTAGGTAATCTAGTTAACTGACATTTGGGATTCTATATAAACTTTTCCAGACACCTGCCCATATAACCTATCATTGGTTAGGGTTGATCCAATAATCATATGTCTTAATTGAGTCAATTTCTCAAAGAATATTAACGATTATTGTGTCATATGCATAAAAAGTTGGTCGACAGAGATCTGTCAATAATAAGAAAATGACATTAGCGACCATTAAATATCTTATTAGATTAAACATTTCAGTCATACGGAAGGTCAGTATAGACCTTAATTGCTAAATGGCAGAGTATGTAACCATGGTTCGAAGTGATGAGAATTCCGATCCAACAAGGTTCATCACTAAATGTAAAATTGTAGATGCAATTTACTGACACTAACATACTTAGCCTTGTTACTCCTAGTGGAGCATAAGCTGTCGACCAGGATTGTCCAGCCAACTCTGTCTTAAGTAATCCTTTCCAGTTGTTTCCAATTACTACTCATTTTTTATATCTATCTTCAATTCATTGAGCAATTTGTTCTTTGGTCTACCTCCTTATCTTTTACCTTCAGGATTTCAATTTAAGACTTGCCTGATGATATAGTTTGATGATTTTCACAATGTATGTACTGACACTAAGGAATAAACGATGTACAATTACTAATCGAATAATGATTGTATTCCCTAAAGAATTATAATTTAAAGTTCAAGCAGAAATCAAAACATTTTTATTTATTATAACACAAATGACAATTGATTTATCATTAAAATTCAACCAAGAAAAGTATTCTTTTATATACAGATCATTCTGTTTAATACGATTAGTAAAATGATAGCATGAATTATTACTATTTATTATTTACAGAAGGGAATTTTGTGGAGATTTTAGTAATTTAATAGTTGAATTCATGAGTCAATTAAAACTAGACCATTATGGGAAATCTGGAAGCACTGAACGGTCGTTTCGCCCTAGTATGGGACTCCTCAGTAGTACTTATTCACGATCCCGCCCGCGGGATTCGAACCCAGGACCTATCAGTTTAGAGCATGAGACAACTTTGTGAACTTTGAAGTGTTTCTTTCTAACGCTTCCCACGTATTCATTAGATAAGTAACTGTTATTAATTACACACTTAAACATCACTGTTTAGAACTATTGTAATATTCGAAAACTGATATAACCATTAGAATTTTCTTGAGCTTATTGAATTAAGAAAAAATATTATCCAACAGCTTTGTATGACTTCCTTCTTTACAAACATTGTTTACAAAACCCTACAATGAATAATCGCTGAGAAGTATATGATATCATGTTTCTCTAAGTGTATTAATCAAATTATATAATTGATAATGCAAATATCTTGGTCCTGAAATCAATCAATCATCCTGAAAATATATCAATAATAAAGTTTCCGTTTCTGAAAATACTTGATCTGTATTCTAATCTGCCAGGTCAAATCAGCCCGTTCCAGATTTCATTAGTTTCAACTAACATGATACCTAGGTTCAGGGTTTCTTATTAACTTTTTCCATTCACTCAGTAACCAATCTTAATGTTGGCCTAACTCCACTGAAATAAATGACACGTTGACAATATATATAATTTGCATGTCTAGTATTTCAAGTTATTGTATGTCTTACTATAATGTTACAGCTTTTGTGTTCTAGTCAAGCACCATAAAATTCATTTAAATTTGATAGATTTGATGTTGCACATAATTAAATAAAGCACTTTATTTACACTAAACATTTTAATATAATAATACACTGCTTCATCACTACTGTTATGATTTATGCACAGCATATTAGCTTTAAATGTGTACAGTAAATGTCTTTATCTACACACTTTGTTCTTTTTTTAAATTTTTCGTTATCCAAAGATAACTTGCATGATAAGAAAAGCAGAATAACTTTTACTCTCATCTTGAGAGATATATGGGTAATTTATGATGTTACCGTGTGTATGTGATGAATATGTTAAATAATTTAGTAAATAGAGATGTTCATAAGATGGTGGAGAAGATTTATAACTCTGGTGGATGATTTTGATGAAGTTTTTTTTCTCTGAATTGGATGGTTTGGTTATGGAGCTTACATTGTTCTTCTTCTACCTGAATTTTGTACTGATGATATTGTTCAGAAGAACAATGAAAACTTCACGACCAAAGTCATCCAGTTCAAAGAACAAAACTCTATCCAAAAGAAATGTTCATTAAAATAAAGTTATTGTTTTTCATAGAAACGTTTCTTGTAAATGAAAATCATGTTGTCAAGCATTTTATGAGAATTTCAAAATGAGTAGAAGAAAAAGCATTTAGTCAAATTTCATATGAATGGTGAATAACTAAAAGATGATCACTTATCAGTTACATAATACAACATTAGCAAAGATTTAGTTTTGGTCTATAAAATGTTTATACCATTAAACTTGAACTGTTGTATATTTCGAATAGAAAACATAAGTGACTGCACAGATGATATAACTACATTTTCATAATGAGGTTATCGCATGATTATTCTTCCCTACATAAAACTGTATAGATAACATTCTATAATCTTACTCAATATTTTGATAACAATGAAAATCTTTCACAATTAAGAGATATCATCTTTTTATAACTCTAGAAGTAAAATCTTATTACACTGGTTGAAATCATGAGTCAATTGAAGCTAGACCACCATGGAAAACCTGGAAACACTGGACGGCCGTTCCATCCTAGTATGGGACTCCTCAGCAGTGCGCATCCACGATCCCGCACATCGCGGGATCCGAACCCAGGACCTATCAGTCTCGCGCCAAGCGCTTAACCAACTAGACCACTGAGTTGGCATCTAACGGTGTTAATGTCTAACTTCAACCAATCCGCAAGGTCACTAGTAATCTACAAGTTTTACTTTAAATACGACTTGATGTAGTAATCATTTATTGTTATCGATAGTACTATTCATACTCTCGATACTTTTCAATTCTATTCATCACTGCCTTACACAAAACTTTGCATCAATCTATTGCCAAGTTATTTATCAATGATGAAATAGTGTTTATTAATAGGATAAGATAGTTTTGGTGACTTATTAGAATCTGGGTCGTTACTAAAAATCTGACATAGATTTATTGTTCAGTGAAGTTTTGTAAAAAGAAATATCATTCATTATTCTAAATTGTAACTCAATTTATCGTACAGGTAGTTCATAATAATGTATTCATATTATAACTATAATTTACTAACATTAAAATCATGAGTCAATTGCAGCTAGACCACTATGGAAAACCTGGAAGCACTGATAATAATCATCTGCTCACTAGTGACTGACTTCAAGAGATACTTCTGGAGTTCTAGTGCGAAGCCGTTACCAGTGAAGTTCAACCAGGTCTGTTGTGAGACATCAGCTCACTGAAGACAATGGTATACGGTGGCGCAACTTCGCGGATTGAATGTAGTTAGACATCAACACCGTTGGATGCCGATTCAGTGGTCTTCTGACTGTATAGCACAGGCTGTACCGTTTGAGGTATTTTTGATATGATTTGTTCTATTTTCTAAATTAGAACCGTTTAAATTGAGCACAGAGTTTGTGTTTTGATATAATTTAATCCGAGTGTCTCAAGAACGTTTTGTAAACTATACAGAAGAAAGTAGTCTGGCCTATTCGAATAAATTTTGGTTCGTCAGTTCTGCATTCAAACCGAATACTGGCAATTCGGTCGTTACAGTTCTCAAACGAATAGTAATTACTAGTGACAAACACTGCAATGCCTGGCGTTTTTGAGGTACTCTTATCAAATTATATCAAAACACAAACTCTGTGCTCAATTTAAACGGTTCTAATTTAGAAAATAGAACAAATTATATCAAAAAATATCAAATATCAAAAGACTATATCAAAAAGTTCGGACAATTTAGCTGGACGAAACGTTGGAATTATTTTAAATTTCAATTGCTGAGATTATTTCGAACATAATTTTCACATCAATTGTTATTCTTATTCCTGTAATATGAATTTATACAAACCATACCTTATGTGCATTTTTCTAATTCGTGTTGTGTCAAAGTACTCAGTGAATTTTACTTCATTTTTTAAACCTATAATAACGTCAATCTTTATGAGAAACGAAATATTGCTCTGTGTACTCGACTTTTGGCCATGAATAACGGGTTACTGTCTCTCTGACTGAACTCCTAAAGTTTCCAGATGTTTTGTATTCCTGTTTATTAACCGGAAATTTCCAACAATTTGAACGGTTACTACTTATTAGTTTCATACTAATCCTGAATGATGCAATCCTATTATAATTCTTTTAGTATTGAAAAAATCAGGCATAATTTAAACCTTAACTTTTAGTGCATTGTACAAATAAACAGAACCTTCAAATATGATAAATACTTGTTTACAATGTATTAGTAGTTGTGTGTTGAATTAATTAATCATGTTATCGCATCATTTTCCATGTGACCAGTTTTTCCATAGAAATCCTCATAATAAGATTCAATACATCCATTCAACTGATCATATCCAAATGCAATAAAACTCGTATTAAATCAACGTACTTAAAATATTAACTGATTTGGATACGTGCAACTCCATAACTTTTGTATTGTGATCTTGTTTCAGAAAAATACGTCTACTGGAGATTTGTGGCTAATCTATGGTTGTCGTTCTCCAACGTCTAGTCTCCTATTTGAAAATGAACTATCAGATGCAGTAAATTCTAAAGTATTGAAACATCTTTGCTTGTGTTTTTCAAGAGATACTGTAAATTCTCCGGATGAAAAATATGCACTTAAAGAAATTTCGTCAATATTAACTGAACAAGCCTGTTTTCCACTCAAAGCGCAGTATGTTCAAGATTGTATCCTTTGTAAATATTCTACTGATTATGAGGTATCCGAGCATGATATTCAACTGATGAATCTTGTTTTCGAAAAAGGTGCTAAAATAATGATTTGTGGAGGACCACGTGCTTTAGCTTTTGGAGTATATGAGTCGTGGCTGAGACTACTTGCTATGCGACTTTATTTTGAACGAACACAGAAATGGTGTAAATATTCGGCCATACCTGAAGAGGATTTCATAAATGCTCGGGCATATGTAGATATAATGCGTAAAGCAGAACGATTTCAAGAAGATGTATGGGCTTAACAAAAAATCCCACTTATGATGTTTTTACTGTAAATTATTCGTCTATTAATATTTCTTCTTTGCATATATTCCAGTGTGTATAATGTTGTATATTCAACTGTATCACTAAAACGTCCTTTTTCTACAACTTAAACTGAGGGTCACAGGCAAGAGTTACGAATAAAATTATGTATATATTTAATAACTTTGAAAGTTGTTTGTACTGTATCACAAACTGACTGATATCAACCTATCGTGCTAACAAGAGTTTGTTTATTATGACATCTGGATTTGCTACTAAGGTGATTATTAATCCATGATAAAAATACACATAAAGTAATAAATAGTTCTTCATTCCTCCTATCTGAAATCAATCAAAGATTTCTTTCAAATCCATAAGTTAACTCATCAACAGTGCAGTATATGGTACGAGTGTGTGTGTGTGTTTGGATTTCCTTATCAGTTTTAAAAATCCTTTTGGAATGTTTCTAATCGGAATATTCTTTTTTTAAATTTATGTAAATAAAAGGATAAATTTATCTAATTTCCTGCTTCAGTTTGGGCGCTCGGGCAGTATTCCAACCTTTACTAGGTTTCAAACATATTCTGTCTCGTGTTATGATCTTCATTTGGATTGTTTGAATTGCATAAAGTAGATTTTTTAACTGAACAAAACTTTTCCAGTAATGCTTTAATGATTTCCTTTCATAAGGTACATTTAAGGTAATAAATGAACACATTAAATTCACAAATCTAAACTTGTTAGATGCTTTTTTTCATTTATTTCGTATAAAAGTTTACATAAGAATCATCCTATCCGTTTTGTGTCTGATATAATCACATGTATAAATTTCATAAAATTTGGTAAAATAGTAATCAAAGCGTAAAGCTGTCGAAGAAATAACAAACGGTCAACGGAACAATATTTCATATAACTATCTGAAAGGCAGCTTATAGGAAATTTTAATAGAACTATAATCAATAATCATCTCTTTCTTGATAAGCCGTACGATCTCGACTGACTGAAGTACCCGGGTAATATGTTGCTCCTAAACTAAAAGATTAAATTCGAGAGAGAAGTATTATTTCGAAGTTGAGAATTTTGAAATTATTTTAAAAAATAAAGTAAACTACTCAAAATCCGTGCTGAAGATCCTGGGCCTAAGTCTATGTGGAGTCGTCAATGCTCGCTCCTGAAGCATTGCAACGCAAGATAAACAGTTATGTGGTTCTACCTGACTACCGAGGATTCCGCAACTGATGTCGATTCCTGACAAAATCGATCTTCAAAAAATGGTCAGAGATCCACACTGAATGTTTCCCACATTTCTTTGTCATTTGACATATCGGGTGAAACTAAGTGTGATTTACTAGTGATCGAAGACAAACACATCCAGATACTGTAAGTGACAACCTTACATTATCAGTTATTCCTTTCACTAACTTCGTTTTGTGTACTTCTTAATCGTTGATTCAGAAATGAATTTAAGTGTTATGCAACCAGGTGCCTAGTTTAGTGATTGATTGATTTAATATAGTATCCATTGTGAGATTGAAGAGATTCCCATTTTTCATCGTAAAATATGTGTTATCTCATTCCTAGTGATTAGTGTTTTGTTGTCTCAATCACTTCATCTATTTGTTCTTTTATGAATTATCAATACATCAGACATTTATAACGTAGTTACATTTGTCGACCATATATTGCCTATATTTCTTCATCTAAACGTGACTAATAAGTCTACATATAAACAAGCAAAAAACGATTTGAAACATTGTCAGCATTTAAGACATCAATAAAAGTATTGTACCTTGAATAGCCTGAAGGTCTATAACCTGCTGGTAAACTGCTTAATCTTAGTTCGGACAAAGCACGTTCTTTCTCAAATCTTTCAGCTGATAAACTTCTTGATAACCGGTTTGCTTCTCGTTCTGTTTCAGCTAATCGTTCTCTTACTTTTTCTACTTCACGTTGAGCCATTTCAGCTCGCTCTTCTGCACTAGCAATTCTGTCGCGTAAAGCAATCACTTCAGTAGTTCTTTCCTGCAATCAAGAAATTTAATCTAGTCATTATGATTCCTAACAAGTGAAATTATGAAATTTATGTTCAGCACTGAATAATTTTGTATTATCGATGGTACGATTATGAAGGGTGGTATATGTTGCTACAACAATTTAGAATCAACCCATGTGTGTTGTGCATAATACCTCAAGTTTTAGATATTTCACATTGCGTAGATTTCATGATAGTATAGAGGTGAAACACTTAATCATTGATGTTAACTAATATTTCGTTACTTTAAATTCGCAGAAATCAGTTCAATGTGTACATCTTTTGAAACAAGTAACCACCAGCAGCTTCGATCGTCCCAACCGTGGTGTTCCATTTCTGATCAACGTAAATTTTTATTTATTTAGTGCTGCATCTAGTTCGTCATTTTTGTCTTAAGTTTCGGACCCATTTTCTGATCATCACCTTAAATCACTGCCTTGTTAAACAGATTAAACACGTATACGATTTCATTTCCCATCGAATTCTATATAGATACAACATTGTGCTGATAAGGAGATAAACCATGTAATGCTCAAGCATCTGAATAGCTTGATTACAAAGCACTTTCATGGACACTTTCAACAATAAAAGTGACAAAACAAGTGCACTGACACAATTAGAAAGTACTTTGAACGCTTTAAGAACAAAGTACCATATGTTTTGCATAATAAATTTTTTTTAATAATCTTAATTTGAGTATCCATTGGACGAATTAAATAAAAACTGACAACGCTCAGTAGAACTGAATAGGATTTTATTATTCTAATTTGGTCTAAGCAGAGTATTAGTGAATGATAGTAAATCAGTTGATTAGGTTGTGAATCTTCATCGACTGAGATGGTTGGGTCACGTGTTACGTATACCTGAAAACCAATTACCATGACACGCAATGCTGACTAGTGTTGGAGATAGTTGGAAGAAAGTTAGGGAGGGCCAAATCAAAACGTGGTATCAGTGCTTGAGGTCACTAACTTCCGGTCTGAGTCATGCTGGTAGATGCAGACTATTTGATTGGGGTCCGCGTGACTATCATAACCAATGGTTAAAGGCTCTTGGTGACATTGCTTAGAATCAATCACAATGGCGTAGGTGTATGCACTCTATCTTCCCTTAAACTAAGAGATTAAAATCCCTACATATCTTTCTGTACTGTATTCTTACATAAAATCTTTCTTTTATATATTACACTATTGAGTTAACTGCTTCTATGAATCCGGTGTTCGGCTTGCTGTGCTAATGAGGCGTGGCAACCGATGCATATATGTGCCTAGTCCTAAGTTGTAACCGATTGACTCAATTTGGTCTAAGCGAGTAATATTAAAGTATTTGAATACAAGGCGTTTTTATTATTTAATTAATTAGTTTAAATGAAAATATGTGAAAGTATATAGTTTTTGTATTTTGTCCCTTTTACTATTCTATTTTCATGAAAACAATTTACATTTTATTAGTTGAGATCATGAGTCAACTGAAGCTAGATCACCATGGGAAACCTGGAAGCACTGGATGGCTGTTTCGTCCTATTGTGAGACTCCTCAACAATTTACTTAGTAATAAAATAAGTGATACTTATTAGGTATCTACTTTCTATACAACATACCGGTCTATCTTTTGACAAATTAATTTCTATTTTGTTTTTAGAAATTTCAGATATGATTAACTTTTCATTTTATATCATTGAAATGATGCCTTTTTAAATGAAAATTTGGTCAATTACAACAAATAAATTTAGGGGATAATGATCGAATTCTACAAACTTTAATGGATGGTAGCTAGCAGTAGAATCCAGGACGTGCGTTTCGTACTATTTGGGACTCATTAGCTAGATGTGCTTGTATCTAAGAGTTGATGTTCACTCCGAGACTCGGATCCAGTACCATTCGCTTCAAACGCCATCACGTTTTTGACTTAGGTACTGAGTCTAGGTAACCATTAGCTTGTGCAATGAGGTGAAGTTTTAATTTATTTTTTTATTGGTTGTTTGAATCTTCCCATTGATGTTTAGGACTGAAATTGATCAATTTTTTATTGATATATGTATATCCTCTGCGAATTGCTTCGATATTGCCTGAAGTCACAAGCATTATACACCACCATCTATTTCTGCTTATAATGCTTGTGACTTCAGGAAATATCGAAGTAATCTGCACGTGATGCACATATGCTAACAAGAGACTGATCAAGTTCAGTCGTAAACATTAATGAGAAGATTCAAACAACCAATAAAAAATCAATTCAATTAACTTCAAGTTAGTTGAAATCTCTTTATCTCTACACTTCTTAGATAATGTTCGAAGACATGAGAATCAACCTAATCATCAGTAATCTGTGTTCAAGAATAAAGATCAAAGTAAATCAAAAAATAGTATTAACTTTACCAAACTCACCTGAGCTTCAGATAAAGCTTTTTGTTCTTTTTGTCTTGTAATTGTAAGTATTTCATTAATATTTCTATTATTTTCACGTTCATCTTCTAATTGTTCTTTAATTTGTTCTAATTCTACTTCAAAATCATCTAACTGTGCACGTAATTGATCATTATCTAAACGTTGTGTATTATTTTCACGTTGTACATTGGCTTTTTCTGTTTCACTTCGAGATAATGCATCACGTATTCGTGATATTTCTGTAGAAAGTGTTTCAATTTCTGCTCGAGACATTCTAAGTTGTTCATTAGCTTCAACTAATGATCGTGATGTTGCATTACTCTATAATGTAATGAAAATTAATTTTCTTAAATAATAATTAAATTTGAACTTCACTGGTTACGGCTTCTTAATAGAAATTCAGAAAATACCTTTTGAAGCCAATCCAGTGTTTCTAGGTTTTCCATGGTGGTCTAGCTTTAATCGACTCATGAATTCAAACATTAAATTACTACCATCTCCGCAAAACCCCCTTCCTAATAATTGTCGAATTCATTGATACATGCCTTATTTTGGCCTTTGTGAAATATCATAATTATGGACTTATAACTGTAGAGCCTATTGATGATGAAGTCATTGAAAACAATTGTCTGCTCAAATATTCTATAGGGATTTTTGAATTGGTGATAAATAACAGACAAAATGAAATAACCAAGTCGGAACGGGTATGTATATTCCGCAAAAGGCCAGACGCACGAGCGATAACAACAAACACAAATCAAAACGTATATATACAGCACAAAACCGTTCTTGGGAAGCGTTACAAAATAGCATATCAAAAGACACAACGGACCAATAGCGTTTAAGATTCTTTCAAGTGGGAAATATGACATGAAGGTGAAAAAGGCGCTTTTGGCGTAAAAACAAAGAAAATCAAATTTTCTTAATAAAAGTACAAAGTTAAGACCTTTTTCAAATGAGTTCTGAGGATCTAACGTCCCCAACAAATAATGGATCAATTTAGTGTTGTTCAATAGTTATACACCAAATCACTGTAACTTGAATTGTGTCAGGAATTAAATGGAGGCTATGTGCAATGGTATATACTACCAAAGAGTAGAAAGTTATGTTACATTATTCAGAGTTGCTAATTTAAAAGATCACAATCGGGAATTATAACCTTTGAATGTTTTGAAATAATCAGTGAAGGCTTTTATGTAGATTATAGATTTTTCTTTGGTTTTAAATCGCAAACATAATCAATAAAAATATTCCCAACAAAATGGGATCAAATATCTATCTGCAGGGATTCCAGCAATCCTCACAGACAGACAGTCAAAAGGTTAACAGTCACACACTGAATCACGCCATGACCTTGAGCCTAGTCAAACACGACCATACTGTCAATAGTCCGGCAACATGCAATAGGAAATCAGGTAACAAAAGATAAGTCTTCAATCAAATCACGTAATAAAAGCTCAGACGAGGAAGACTGGAGAACAAAAGGTGTGATTAAACGAGATCTGAACAAAGGTTAAAATACACGACAGGGAGAAGAAACAAATAAATGACAGTACTGTCCAACAAAAGGCTGCGGAGGGATTTTCATCGTTTTCTTTCCGTTACACGGATTCTATTTACAGAAATTCATTCGTAAACCATATAACAGACACATCATAAACTGCAACAGCTACAACATGGTTTAGTTTCCGCGCTCAAAACAAACACGCATTGCTTTACTTATGGGGAATATGTGACTAATTAATGTGGCTTTTACAGTAATTTTATGCACAGTTCCTGTATATGTTCATAAACGGGCAGAAAAAGCAATCAACGTCATCTGTTACTGATAATTTTTTCTCAGATATGTTACATATGAATGTGTCAGTTCAGTCAAAAACGACGATACTTATAATGGACAGAATTGTGTTATGGCTGGATATGATCAAATTATATAATATTCATAAATAGTTTAACGCTTAATTGCACCAACCTACGGGATGGCTTAGAAGAATCGTTTGAAAATGTAAACAACATTTCGGAAAGCATTAAGCTAACGAAGGAAGTTGAATCCGTTGACCACAAACTAGCGTTTCGCGACTGTTTGGTTGAACGAAGACAATCATAAGAAGTTGAAAATAAATGTATTCAGGAAATCAACACATTCTGAGAGATACTTAGATTATGGTTCAGCTCATGCGCAGTGTACGAAAGTCCATGTTGTAAAAAACTTAATGAACAGAAGTATTAGACTAGTTACAGATAAGGAAGACCAACAAGTTGAATGGAATAGAGTATTGTCTACAATTAGGGATAACAACTACCCAAAGAGTTTTTAGAGAAGATTGTTAGAAATGAAAGGAAAATTAAACTAGAATGTATACTGAAAGATTGGAAGTCCACAGTGGTCATCCTATACCGTAGTGAAACATTGGAAGAAATCAAGCGAATTCTAAACAAGCATGATGTAAGAGTGTATTTTCGGGCATGTGACACCATAAGATCAGCATTAGTTGAAGTGAAAGATAGGTTCCCTAATGAAGAAAAACAAAATATTGTCTATGAGATCAACTGTCATGACTGTAATGCAGCTTATGTGGGAGAAACATCCAGATAATTGAACTTAAGGTTGAAGGAACATAAACAGTATTTGAAAAATGTTTCCAAATCCTCGGTTGACTTAAAGAAACTTGAGAATAAGTCTGCGATCGCGTTACGTGCGTTAGAAACAGGACACAAGATTAATTTTGAAGGGACCAAGATACTTCAGAAAGGATTTAACACTCATAAAGAAAGATTGACAGCGGAAGCGCTGTATATATGGGCGAACAAGAACAGCCTGAACCGAAAGGATGGTATTCAACTAGCGACTACTTGGCAGATATTCGTTGACAAGTAATTGGACCCTTTCTTTATTTAACCTGTTTATTTCACATGCATCGTTATTTTGACTGAAATTAATGTGAGTTATTTTTAGCAATACGATTATGTATTTGATTATTCTCATTTTACTTGCACTTCAATGATTCAGAAACGACTTTTTTAACCTTCAACTTGCACCTTTATTTCTCTTTCATATAAAAACATATTAACACCGAGTATTATTCATTAATAATTCAATCTTACACACACATACACACAGATAATTCGTTTGTCATTTATTTTCACGTCGTGAACTTTTCACATGATTCCCATGTAACTGACTCGTGTTATCCTATTTACTAAAAATCAGCATCCAAATATGATTAGATTAAGCATAGTATAGATTTGATTTGATCGTTACAACGCTATATATTTCTTTAGTGATTTTGATTTTAATCATTATCCTGAAGAAGTTTGGACAAGTTAGCTGGACGAAACGTTGGAATTATTTTAAATTTCAATTGCTGAGATTATTTCGAACATAATTTCAAAATAAAATGTTGTCACTGTACTCGGTGCCCAAATTCTGTCAAACTGTTCGTTCTAATCTTGACGAATATTCGTATAAGAATAAATAAATATCTCACCTTAAGGTTGTCGATTTTACGTTGTCTTATAAAGCTAATAAATGGTGCGATTCCACTTCCGGCAGCAATCATGATAACTGGTTGGGAGATATTATCTGGTAAATAAAATTGTGTAATATTTTTACGTAAATATATATATATAATCTGAGGTTCGACATTGTTGAAATTAACTTTCTGATAGTCATCAGGTTGATTAACTCCAAACCATATTTTTTCAAGCCAACCGGTACAAGTGCCATGACGTCGTGATGGATAACGATCAATAAGACCTACATGCTTATCACTTTCAGGATATTTAAAATCCACTCTAGTGAAAATAAAAGATAGTTCTTGTTCACAAGACAATTGTTTATCAACTGGATTAATGAGTGTATATGAACGTGGCTGAAGTGTTGGAAGAATTTCCAACAATCGAATAAATGATGGTCGGCAACATGAAAATATAGACAAAATATCCAAGAGATTAAGATCAGGTATTTGGATATACCTGAAAAGAAAAGATTAAAATAAACTGGTAGACAACCATAATATGTTGATATTTTAGGTAGTAAGTAAGTAGATTGCTTACAAACATTAACCGTATTAAGTTTAGTTACTTTAAATGTATTGTGAACTAGGACTGGGAAAAAATCATTAGTTTGATACTATCACCTTACCACTATTTCCAAAAAAGTGGGTTTGAATATTCGATAACAAGTCCTACCATGATAAATCTATGGATGGAAACTTGCATTAGGACACTGGGGATTAGTTTATAACGACGTCTACAATACATAAATGATGAAATATGAAGTTAGACTGAGATAACTAAAGCTTATTGTGGTACATTCAATAAACGTCATTCATCCTTCTAACTTCTATATATTTCTTGATTCTTTTTTGTTTAGTTCATTGATGTTTCTCCATGCATAGAAACATTAACCTACTTTTGCTTTCGGTTATAGACTGGTCTATCATCCAGAAGAATGGTTGTAAATATTATACTTACTTTTCAAACATTTTCTTCCCTTCGGCACTGGAGAATTCCAAAAGTCGGTTACGTTGTCTTTCTGCACTGACAGGACTGACATTGTCATCAAAACAATAATCTGCTAGCAATCGTAAAATCCGACGTGTTACGGTATATACAGTTCACAGCAATACGTCAACAAATATCGTAATGAAAGCGGAGAAGTAAAATGAGACCATTCAGGGAGGCTTCTATGCTTTGTAGCTATTACTTCATGAGTGAAAAGTGTATCGGCATCGTGTAGACTATCCAATGTTAAACGCTGTAACAACCACGCCACAGTTTGCGCATTATTTTCAGGTAATATGGAGATGCTATCACCTGGAAGGTAATCTAATGTCTTTCCAGACTTAAGTTTTAAAGTCGCTCTGTAAAATAATAAATAAAAAAAACTTGGAAAAATTGGAAATCATTGAGAAATGTTTCGTATTAATGTCATAGCATGAGGTGGTTAGGGGCAATTAACAGGTCTTGAATTTCAATTCCGTGTTAATCGTCACTTGTTGGTCAACTACACACAAAACCTAGATCCACAGTTTCCTGCTGAATACCCTTAACAACATAACATAAAGGACACTACTACAAGGCGAAAAATACGTGATAGATAGAATTCAGTCAGGTTTAAGGCTTAGGTTGATTATAACTAAGTGGTCGATTAATGTGCGCTGTACAGATAAAACCAGAACAGCTCAAAACTGAGTTGAGATCCACCTTATTTATTGAGTGATTTATTTGAAAGACGTGACATTTGTCTTGAGTGTAACATTAGCACAGTGACAGCTAATTCCCCTCTAAATGCAAGTTGTTGCTTCAGGACTGGTCTGCGTTAACACCTGAACTAAGGATAGGGAGTGAAGTAGTCGAACGAGTTGACAACTTCACTTATCTTGGAAGTCTGATCAGCCCTAATGGGTTGGTGTCTGACGAAATCTCAGCACGGAATCGAAAAGCTCGTTTGGCTTTTGCCAACTTACGTCACCTATGGCGGAGGCGAGATATCCGTCTATCAATAAAAGGACGAGTATACTGCGCGGCAGTCCGTTCTGTTTTAAATTACGGCAGCGAAACATGGCCATTAAGAGTAGAAGACACTCGTAAGCTACTAGTACTTGACCACAGATGCCTTAGAAATATTGCTGGCGTCTGTTAGGATCACCGGGTAAGTAATAGTGAGGTTAGACGCAGGGTATTAGGAAATGATGGTAAATCAGTTGATGAGGTTATGAATCTTCATCGACTGAGATGGTTGGGCCACGTGTTACGTATGCCCGAACACCGATTACCACGACGTGCAATGCTAGCCGGTATCGGAGATGGTTGGAAGAAAGTTAAGGGCGGCCAAACCAAAACGTGGCATCAGTGCTTGAAGTCACTAACTTCTAGTCTGGGCCATGTTGGTAGATGCAGACTACTTGGTTAGGGTCCGCGTGACTATCGTAACCAATGGTTGGAGACTGTGTGTGACATGGCTCAGAGTCGATCACAATGGCGTCGGTGTATACACTCCCTTTCTTCCCTTAAACTAAGAGACTAAAATCGCTTCATATCTTTCTTTCTACGAACCAATTTTTTCTTCTTGTACTATATCTCTATATGCAATCTTTCCCTTATATATTACCACCTTTGACCTAACCACTGCTATGAATCCGGTGTTCATCTTGTGTGCTGATGCGGTATGGCAACCTGGACCGATGCACATATGTGCCTGGTCCTACGTTGTAGCTGACTGACTGACTGGCAGCTAATTCCACGTCACAAGAATGAGTTGAAAGTAAGCATAAAGATAGTAATACGATAATTAGTACTAACTACCACATTAAACTGTATCTTTATATTTATTTGCTTTCAAAGGTACTTTATTTTGAAACGGTGTTTGGCACATAGCTGATTAAGTTGACATGTACTTGGTTACAGAAAGGTAAGGTCATTGAACTATATCGCAAGGCGTTCTTTATTGAAAGTAGTTATTAGTCAGACAGAAGACTCGCAAGTAGATTACTAAATACTAAGAACAAATTGAAGTATTATACATCTGTTTGCAGCGGTATTACAGACGTATGACTATAACGTTCAACTTGACAAACAAAATCTTTAAAAAACTACTACAGAAAAGTGAAAAAGGAATGCTTTTGTGTTGCACAACGTCTAGCAAGAGACTAACCAGATTTAGTGAAGAAGTAGGTCATGAAAATAGGATAGGTTGAAGTTGGATAATGAACAATGTTGGTTGAAATTAATAAATTCTTCAAGGTTAATAACCTTACTGATAAACGGTTTTCGAGTTCCCTTTTGTAAGACATTTGAGGTGAGTGAACTGTACGGGCATAACGTCGCTACGTGAAAGAGGAGGAAAACCAAAAGCATGATCGCCCACAAACAAGCTTTGCTCACTACAGACTTTGTAGCAGAATAATGGCGATGCTTTAGGAGGAAGACTCAACTTGTTTGTATCCCATGATTTTTCAAATTCATCGCCTAGCAGATAATTAGCTGTATTTTTAACATCATCATCACTGATGCATAAATTTTCTGTTGACTGGATGATGCAATTTATGTCCATCTACGTGATATATAATAGGAACGGAAAATACAGAAAGTAAGGATTGGGTAAAAACAGATTTTCTTTTAATTTAACTTTATGGAAAAGTGATAGAATACAGATTCAATACAATCGGAAAGTAGATATCTCAAATTCGGCGAAAAACCAAATGTGTTGTCTGGGGAGCTATGTCATCTTTATTAGTCGCTATGACCATGAATGGGATGAGAAGTGAAGAAAAATTATGCTACCGAATTACGAATAAGTAAACGTTATGTAACTTTTGCGATTATTCTAAAATCGTTTGAAAAAAATATAAGTGCATACAAAATACCTGATGTGAAGGCTAGCCATAGTGTGAATTAGCAGTAGGTATGTGGGTAAAGGTATAGAATAGGGACCAGCCAGTAGTACTTTAACTTACGGATAGAGGAATCAAATCTAGAACGGGAACTCTGGAGTCTCGGCGCGAAATTAGTAGATTAATACAGTCGACTAGCACTTAGGCATTTTAGCTAATATCATGCTGTGTCAAAAAAATTTTAGTCCCGAACCTTAGCCTCAAGCTTGAACTCCGAATCCTAGTTCTTCATACAGATTTAAAACCCCCTTTTGACCATAGCAAGTGGATACAGTTTCTTAAGAGCACTTTGGTATCGTTCATACGTGGGATTAACCTCATCAACTATCTGTCTTCTTAAACCTTAAAAGTGACCCGGAAATACTTGGGGGTCCTTACAATGTCCCTAGTTAAGATTTGGCACTAGAATTAAGACTACGCGTCAATGTTAGTTTTCAGCCTGAACTGTTATAAACTATAATAGAAAAGTGTTACGTAGACATAAAGATGAATGGATTACCAGAAGAGATAAAAGAGGGCTATTCGGTCAGTACAGCTCTAAAAGACTACTATCGAAATTATTGGACTGACAATAAGAATTTATTTAACCTTCGCATCGCCATTTATTTTGCCATGAAATATTCATTCACACAACGTGTTCTCTGATTGGTTAGAAATCTGTCACCGTTATTTTGACTTCGTCGGTGTGACCATAATTTATGGATGACCTATGAGTGACACCGTGACCCTGGGGGTGTCTACCTGCTTATTAGGGCTAGATGAGGGTTATGAAACAGTTAGCAGAATAAGGATTATGATTCACAATTGGTAGTTAAGGTTAGGAATTGCATTTATAGTTTTTCATCACGAACTGACACAAACTAAAATGCCAAGACGCCATTCGGTCAAATGGGTGGGTGAATTTCGCACCTAAATCTAAAACCTTTCATCCTAAATCAGATTGGTTTGCCCAAGAATTATAGCCTTGCCATAGTGATTCCTGTACTCTAGAGCAAAATTCACTCATCTATATGGCTAATTAGCATTTAGGAATCATAAATAATGGCAGTATATCATCGAAAAACCCAGACTCTAATTCTCGACTCTAATTTCTCACTAATTTATAGCCGATTTTTGACCATAGCAAAGATTTTTTAAAGTTAGTATATCGTCTGTCAGTCACAGTCACAATGAGGCAATCTGGAGTTCTGAGTAAGGGTTTTCACGTAATGACATGAGTTACAATGCAGTGCTTCGCCAACCTTTTGTTTACAAATTTGGGAAACTTGGGTTTGGTAATACAGTGAGAGGAAGAATACTATCTAGCTTCACTAAACACTCGTGATTAATCACTGAGTCACATCAAGTACTTTAAAATACAATCACCCCAAAAGTATTTACATTCCTTAAATTTGCTTAAAGGTCATCTTAGACTCACTTTAGGGATGCATCATAGGCCTTACAAATCTCGACCAAATTGAAAACGGATTGCGAACTTCGACTTCTTTGAAAGTATTGTACAAGTTACGTCGACGACCAAAAATATCAATAAGAGGAAACTAATTGATCTACCACAGAAAATGTGGAGTGCTTAATCATATACAAAGACGTAAATCGCAGATAAAAACTTCCGGACATTACTTTCATTGTCAGATGCAGAGGCTTTGGTTTTTGCCCATGAGATCTACAATTATGATAAATAATTATTATTTCCAAATACGGTTCGTAATCCAAAGTAAAGTACATCAAAAATAAATTGAAAAAGAAGGCAAAAATATAATCTATGAGTGCACATGGTAAGTTAATTAAATAAAAACAATGGGTGAATGGACGACAGCAATCCTGTGACCGTGCCTGTAACACGTTAGCTCTTTTGAAAGTCGACCGCCGTTTCGTTTAAACGACCTTGAACAGCCTGGCAAGAGGCTGTCAATCTGTATTTCGATTACTGTGTGTTTGTTGGGTGTCCGTTGGGTAGGACAAATATTAGGTGTTCTCATATTTTCGTGGTCTTTCGCTGCAGGAAAACCACCAAATCCTTGAGAAGAACATTGATTTAACTCCCTCTGTCTTGTAGTGTACAAGTTGGATCGATTGTTGCTTCGTAACTTATCAACCTCAGGACGAAGCAAAAATTGTGTACAGATTCCGTGAAGCCAATTTTTACCTAAGAATTATCAATAAGGAGGTAAGACTGTAGTTTCTCTAATGCTTGTCTTTGTGTAACATTCTTTACGATAGTAAATATGGATCGAAATACAACAAAGTGTGGAGACACGACAGGAAATATTTATCATAACCGGATTCAAAACCTTCAATTGATAATATGAAATCTGAGAAAAATCCTATTACAACGTTTGTAATACTATTAGCAATTCATTGTTTGCATACACTAATGACAAACTTCCGCGCGCTAAATAAAAGGACAGATCTTATATTGACTCACCATGATTATGACGTTGCGAACCTCCATTACATGCCACTCCTAGGTGAAAGTGATCAGGTAGCCTTAACTGTTGACTTCCATATAACTGTCAATCACGAGCACGCGTTAGCTCAATCCAGACCTAACGTCTGGAAAGCAAACGTACCAGATATCATGCACTCAGCATCGTTAGCAGATTGGACAATAGACCCACAGTCATCAGCTCTCAAATAATAATAATAATTTATTCTCAAATAACAGTTTGTTACATGAGGCATGCCAGTTTACAGGCAAGATCAAATTGATACAAATGATACAATATTCACTGTAGTAAATTACATAGCTGGGTTGATAATTTATGAGATATGAATGTAGATGGTTTTAAGCAGTTCTACAGTTAGCGCGCTTCATGAAAGTTGCGTTGCAAATGTGCGACTGATGGTCAAGGATAGGTCCATTGAAGGTATGAGCTTCTAGAAATCGCAACCTTATGTCCCTTTAGAATATCCAAGGCTTTAAGGATGGTGCAGGATGAAGTCACCCGTTCCATATCTCAAGGGGGCTGAAAGAGGGAGCAAGTAAAAGAAAACACGAGGGGCAGAGTAGCCAACATTCATGAAGGAATGTTCAAGGTATGATTACTCAGTCTAATTTTCTTTTATTAAGGTATTTGTTAAGAAATCGCATTTTAATAGGTTAAAGAAAATAAGTGTTAACAAGGTGTGAGTGGACATACAACTGACAAATGGAGGCGATTCGGAAAGGAGCTGAGAGTATGGGATTATGTGTGATTATAAAATAAAATCTAGTGCTAGAAACAGTATTGTGATATACAATTGGCTATCTTCCTTTTATTATCGAAGCTATTAGAGCCCCTTTCGTTTTTTTTGTATTATTATTTTTTTCAGGTATTATAGGGTCTTGAGTAGGCTTCGTATATTAGCGAATTGTCTAGTTTGCTTGTAATAGGATTTCTGGGTAGGAAGTGAAACCAATTCAACGTTCGTAACACGATTTAAAGAGGTATTTTGCGTGATAAATCAGCATCAATACCATAAGTTCGTGACATCCCACTAAAACATAAGGAGCCGTAATTAAACAAAATGTTCTGCCCTACAGACATGGGTGGATTGAAGTTATCTCCCCACCTTCATGTTTGCTGGTCAGTAACGCCACCCTCCCTCCTTTTGTGATGTTAGGCTCTCTTACGTTTGTGGTAAGTATGAATACTGCTTTAATCAAAGCCCATAGTTGGAATACACTGTCTCTACTAGGTCCATGTTACAAGCAAATCAGATAGTTGAAAAGTCTTTTTATGGGTTAGATGTCCATATAGTATATCACACTGCTATGAAAATAACTAATGGTTTAAAGAAGTAAGGACTAATAGCAAATCAAAAGATATGAGAGGGTATAAAATTGTAGAAAGAAAAAAAAAGATTTCAGGGTAAGACAAATAAAACATTGAGAAACTCACAAGACTTTGTGGCCAAATTTTGAGCTTTGTATGATCGGCCTTAGTAGATCAGCATCCATAAGGTTGAGCTATCTGTCTACTTGCAGTAGAAAAAAAAGCATGACTTTTAGGAAGAATAATGTACATTTAACCTGTAGAGATTTGGGGACTGAAAGCTAGGGTTAGGAGCATGAAGTCATGATTAATAAACAATGAATAATAGGAAAGGATAAGCCATATATTCTGTGATTTGGTTATATTCATATTAGTAACAGTCGAACTTGTTATAATTTTGTTCTTTCTAGATACTAGGCGGTCCGTAATAAAGTGCCTCCTTGGTGGGCGGGAGTTCAAGGAAATGTTGAAGCTCTTTGGAGTCTAGAAATAGGGTTATTAGCTTTTTGAATCTGGTAAACGTATCACAGTTACGGATAGGCATTGGCAGCCTGTTCCACAATAAACTGTACCGTACTGTAAAAAACTTACAACGCATTTGTTTTTGGTGTTTTACGGTAAGTAGTGTATATGCGTTGTTTCTAAGTCTATAGGCTGGGTCGTGGGTGATAGTCGGGCAGGAGGTTAGAAAGGAGAGCCCATATATCGCTTTGTAGAGAAATATTAAATTGTTTTTTAGCCTACGGTGCCATAAAGGTTCTAAAGATAGATGCTTACATCTTTCTGTGTAATCGAGATTCGAGTTACATCCTAGTAGTTGACGTGTGAAACGTCTTTGAACATCTTCTACTCTTATCTTGTCTGCGATATTCATATTAGAGAAGACAAAAGAGCAGTATTCAAGG